GTCACAGCCGAAAACGGAGCTCGGGAGCCCACTTTTGCTGGCAGAGCGCTCAGCCCCTACAGGTGCCCCTGACACGATTGATGTTGAGCTGGCCACACCCACCCTGGCCATGCCCATTCTGACATCACTCCCCCCCCCTGAGGTCAAACACAACCCTGATGCGGCCCTTAATGAAATCGAGTTTGACACCCCCTAAGCTATTGGGAGAAAAAAGGAAAATAGTTAAATAGTTCAAACATGTATCATTAAGCAGCTGAAGCTAATTAAATATTAAAAAACAAATGCAGTTGAAACTATACGTTCTCTAGCAGGGCTCTGCAAAGTATTTGAAATAATGCTGTGCTAAGTACATTAATACAAGTGGTACAGCTCTTTGCAGAGTGTTAAAATAACTATGATCTTTGTAAGGGTTGCACAGCTGCATAGAAGGCATCTCCCAAATATTTATGTGTGCATGTACACACACTGACAGCACTCATATTGACACTGCTAGTAAAGTAAAGTGACAGAGAATTATAGTTCCAGCATCATTAAAGGGCTCCAGGTTAGGGAAAGCTGGGCTATGTTTTGAATTCAGAAAACTGGTCCTATATAAATTAAAACACATTGATACCCCTTCCTGGATCCCCAGCATGGCCAGATTGTACCTATGAAATTTGATGGCAAAATCACTGGATTTTGTTGGTGGGACTTTTTAGGCTGTTTGGGAAGATTTAAGAGTAGGGAAAGAAGTGGGTGGACCCACAGGTCATCCTGCCTCCATTTCTACCCTAATCCCTCAGTACATAGAAAAAGACTGGAAAAAATTAGTCCTACCTCTTCTAGGGATGTTATGTCATTTTTTGTAAACCACTCTGAATTGAGAAAGGTTAGAGCAGCCTAGAAATGTTGTAATATACAATCAAACACAAATAAATGTCTATCTGGAAAAAAGAGGAGGCCAAGTTGCAACCCAGCTGCTGAAATGTTGCCTCCTCCTCCTTTAATCCCATCCAATCCATGAATTGAGGTTCCTTTCTTAAGCATTTTTAGGTAATCCAGACTTAATTTACTGTATGGAATCATGTTCAAAAGAAGATAATAGCCCTTTTCTGAAGGATACACTGTCAATTTAGTACTTGCTCCTTATTTAGAGGATCGTTTTGCAGTAATGCGTTGTCAGTTCACTCTTCCCCTCTCCTACTAGCGTTTATTTTAGGATTAAATACTTTAAAAATTGTGTCTTGGCTAAGAAAATATCTAAATGCATTTTTTATTATTTTATTATAGTTAAGTATATTTTGCACTCAAATTTTGTGTATGCAAACTTTTTGTTCCTTAAAAATGTTTCTGACCTGGAGTGTTTTTTTAATATAAAGAAATTTTTACATGAGATTAAAAAAACTACAGAACATAAAAGGAAAAACATGAAAAAGAAATATAAAAGAACCAAAGAAAAAGTGAAAGATAACAAAAGACAAAGAAAAAGAAGGGTACCTAGAGAAGTAACTACCAATCTTTCCAGCCGTTACAAACATAATAATTACCATCTCCACTCTACTAAGTTACACATCATGGTTCTCTTTTTCCCTTAAACAAACCTTTTAAATCAATAAATTTCCAAACCACCCATTTATATTTATCCATTTTCAACAAAAAGGCCATAAAGGGTTTCCAGTCTTTAATAACTGTTGTTCCTTCCTTAATCAAACAAGTCAATTTAATCATTTCTACAAGCTCTGCCAGCTTCCCAATCCATTTCTCTATTATGACTATTTCTGCATTTCAGGTCTGTCATTCCTTATGCTCCAGATGCTTCATTCATTTCACTGGAACATGATCAGTGTGTGTGTGTGTGTGTGTGCGCGCGCATTTAACTACCTCCCAAAACTTTGTGAAGCCTATGTAATTGTGGCTTTCTTCCTGGTTGAATTTTCTTTACCAGAGATGCTGATATAATTATGGATTTTGGTTTGTTTTATGTTTTGTTGGCCATAAAAATCACTTATACCCTTTGATTTGCTATTTAGCTTTATGTCATCTGACCTTTATAGTTAGGATAGTTAGCTGAAAAAATGTTTCCTTGTTTTGGTTCCCTTTTTTTGGCAACTGGGATATTTGATTATTAGCCCTTTGCAGGTTCTGTTTGGATAGCTGCACGTACACGTCATGTTACCTATTAGGAGAAGTAAAACACTCTCTTCCAGTTGGAAGTTACTTGAATAAGAGACCAATCACAGAAGGATAACAAAAAGAACAGGTAAGGCAACATCCTGGAAAAAAACTTATCTAAGAACACGCCAACAATTGGAAGGGATCCAATAGTTGTTTTATTAAAGCTAGCCAGTTAAGAGTGAATCGCTGGTCTCCTGCCATAAGTATGCCAGAGACTGTCAGCAAAATTCTTATATATGTTACAAAGATTGAAGAAGAACACATTTGACCATTAACAAAGAATTGCTTTATAACTGATAAGGAATACAATTAGGACATACATAATTCTGTTCGTCCCCCTATCTGGCAAGATTTTAAAAGGGTGATTAAGCCCCGTGAACGCCAAACAAACTGGCTGTTATTCTAATTGCTTTACCCTGGATCTTGCTTTGGTAATGCTATAATACCATTATCAGCATCTTTGAGAATGTTACACTTTATGGAGACATCGTTTGTGAATCAAATGCCATTCACTGATTAAACAAAGATTGCAACTCAAGGAAAATATATGTCATGATAGAATAGTATTCAGGAAGATAGTTAAGCAGTTTAGTGACTAAATCTATTGACTTATACACAAACAAATAGAGATTGAGGGAACATGGATGTCTTAGGTGTGAGCACATTGGGCACACACTGAATAATAAAAAATCCTTCCACAGCACTTCTATTTGGCACCATCCATATATGTTGATCTGTGTGGCTGTGGTGGCTGGGCCAATACATTGGGGCTAGAGGGAAGCCCAAGTTGGAAAAGCCATTAAGATGCTGCAAAAGATATAACAATTACTGCAGCTTACTGGGAGTTCATATTTAGTCTTAGCCTGTGTTGTGGTCCACCAGCAGCCTGCGGAACTGGCAGCGGAGTCAGACAGTGAGGAGGCTGGGGAGGACAATGGGCCAGTCCTGGAGTTAGGGGAAGGCCGGATGAGGGCTCTGCGTGAGAGGCGGAGCGGCAGGGGCATCTGGGAGCGATGTGCAGACTCCGGAGCCTCCAGAGGTGGACAGCAGAGATGCAGAGGAACAGGAGGAGCCTGTTCCTAGTGCACGCATGTGAAGAGCTGCCAGAAGGCAAGAGCAGCTAAAGCAAAAAGGACAACTTGGGAGTAAGGCCAGGAGATGATTGGCCCCTCCCAGAATGCTTAAAAAAGCAGCTTCGGTTTTTTGTAGGAAAGCAAAGTTGCTACATTTGTTTCTTGTTTCTGAACTTAATGGGGCTTTGCCAAGAAAAGCCTTTGGCACGATGCCAAAGAAGACAGGTTTGTGATAAGGTTGAAGGACTTTTTCTGAAGGATTTGTTTTGGAATTAATCTGGACTAAGCTGAGAATGAAGTAATTCTCAGCTGTTCTAATAAAATATGTTTGTTTAGGACTGATTGTGTCTGGTAATAACTACTTGGGCCTAGGTTACAACAGCCTGTGGAACATTACTATTAAACCCTTATTAAAGCATACCTGAGGATTGGGAAGCCATGAGTTCTACTCATGCCTTAAACACAAAGTCAACTAGTTGACATTTAGCCAGTCAGTTTCTCTCAGCCCTAGGAAGGAGGCAACAGCAAACCCCTTCTGAGAAACATTGCCAAGAAAATTGTAGGGATTTGTCCAGGCAGTCTATGAGAATTGGACAAGATTGAATGGAAGAGGAAAAAAAATCAACCCTACATTAAGAAGGCCAAATACCTGTAAGAACTAATGTAGCATCATGGTTAAAGTCTCAGAGAAAAGGGAAAATGTCTGTATTTGAACTAAGTCATATACCGGTAACTAAGTGACCATCCACCAAAATATAGTCTTGTTTACCACCACTTCCCTGTGTAGAAATTGCAGTTGTAGCTCCCGAGATAATTCTAAGAATCATTCATTATTCAAAAAGTTGAGAATCTTTTTCTTCATGTGCTCCCTTGAGGAGAACTATTGAGAAAGCTAATGAAATTGCTGAATTTATTGTTGAAATGTTGTTTTTTAAAATGTTGCTTAATAGATATATGGCATGATTTTAATTTCTTAGATTCATTATGTCTATAGCAAAGTTCTGGTAATGAAATCTAACCTTCATAACTTAATTATAAATGTGGACATTAGAATTATGTTTGGGATACATTTTTAATAACTTTCAGGGGAAAAGAATTTTCAGTCTTATAAATGTGTGTTTTATTGACTTTTTTCTTTTTTTAAAAAAAATGGAAGAATCTTACCTAGATCACTTTAAAATGACTAACTGTATTTGATAGCTGGTCATTAAGGAATATAAAGGAGCATGAACAATTCATACTGCACTGAATCCTTAATCACATTCTCTATCTTTTATTTTTACCTAAAAAGTGCTGTGTATACTTTCACAAATTTATGATATAATAGTCACAGAAACCTGACAAACAATTAGAAAAGAATCACTAATACTTACAATAATGTGTATTAAACACAGAAATGTTATCTCTATGACGTTACTAATCAAATTAGTTGAGTTCCAAGCAGGCCTCCTCCTGTAGGGCTTTGCATTGGCTTATTAGATCATGTCTAGCTATAACCTTCTTCAGTCTCTCATGTCTCCTCCCAGATTCACATAAGAGCAGGGATCTCTCTCCATACTGTCTTACAAAACATAAAATGGTATTCATGTAAACAAGTCAAAATCTGGTACTTCTCATTTGCATGCTGAGGTTTCTTCTGGTTTTCAGATGAAAATGTTAATCATCACCAAGAGAATCAGCCTTTTAAAAGGTTGTCTAAGGCCCACGCTGTTCATCATCCCTTGGTTTTGTAAACAAAAGAATAAACTGCTTTTTTACCCCTCCCTTCTTTAGATAAAATCCTGATACCACCATGGGAAAACAGAACAGCAAGTTACGCCCAGAAGTGATGCAAGATTTGCTAGAAAGCACAGACTTTACTGAACATGAGATCCAGGAATGGTACAAAGGCTTTCTCAGAGACTGTCCAAGTGGACATTTGTCCATGGAGGAATTTAAGAAAATCTATGGGAATTTTTTTCCTTATGGGGACGCTTCTAAATTTGCTGAACATGTGTTCCGTACATTTGATGCAAACGGCGATGGAACAATAGATTTCAGAGAATTTATCATAGCTTTGAGTGTAACGTCCAGAGGGAAACTGGAGCAAAAGCTGAAGTGGGCATTCAGTATGTATGACCTGGACGGAAATGGATACATCAGCAAAGCAGAAATGTTAGAAATAGTCCAGGTATGTATCACTTATAAAAATCTTCCATCCTTCCTCCTTCCTTCCTTCCTTCCTTCCCTCCCTCCCTCCCTCCCTAAACAATGAATGCATACATTTGTCACCGTTCTTGAATTACCATGTTCTCTTCACTATAAAAATGTAATATAATATTAATTCACTGGCTAGAGTAGAAAGAAAAATCTTATCTCTGCCAAGATATTCAGATGTGTCTCCTTCTGAAGACCATTAAATAAGAAATTGAATTCTCAGTGTAAATTCTGTTTTATCTAATTGTTCCATATTTTGATTGGTAAATTATGTTATTCTGTCAACTGTAATCCCTCCCTGTGTGACCAAAAAACAGTGGCTGTCAGCTCTACTAAAAAAGTAAAGTAAAATGAGATCTACAGTAACCAAGGCAATTAGAAAATCAAGGCAATTAAAAAATTCTATTCTCGGGATGGTCTACTATGTATTACAGAATTTTGATTCCTTATTTGGCTAGTGTGGGTATGTGCAGTATGAATGGTTATAGCCAAGCCAGTGAAAAACCAATATGTTGTAGCAGCTAACCTTGGATTAGTACTTGAAGTGACAAGGTTCAAATCAGGAATCAGTGGAAGACCTTCAGCCTAACTTACCATGTTGTGAAGATCATCTTTCCCAACCCGATGCTCTGATCTACAATTTCAATACTCTTGGAATGAGCTTTGGAAATCCTCATTATTCTTGTTGGAATAAAAACTTGATAGATAACATTGTCCCCATAATCCTTTTGTCATATAGAGGGGCGAATTTTCCTACCCTCATTTCTCTACTGGTGCTGCATTCTTACCTTTCATCACCTTTAAAGTTGTTCTGTTTCTTGAGCTGACACCTGTCTTCTTTTGGCTATTTTGAAGTGTTCTTTGTGCTGTTGCTTCCACCATTTAAACCAGGGGTCTCCAACCTTGGCAACTTTAAGCCTGGAGGACTTCAACTCCAGATTTCCCAGCTTTGCTGGCTGGGGAAATCTGGGAGTTGAAGTCCTCCAGGCTTAAAGTTGCCAAGGTTGGAGACCCCTGGTTTAAACAATAACCAGTGGATTTCACCACCCCAGAGTATTTAAGATAAAGTTTTAGTATAAATGTTTCATCTACCTCAGGTGGCATGCTAAACTGATGTTATTTCATGTCCCTTCTGTGGAATTGAGGCCAGAGGAATCCCTGGTGACCATTAATACAATCTCAAACGAGACATGGGCCAGCAAAACTGTGGCACAAGCTGTTGAGTTTCCAATTTGTTTCTGGGAGGAATAAAAAATGTCAGATGTCAGAAAGATTTTCTTAGAGATCTATTTTAGCTTATACAGCAACTATTTTTTGTAGTTCTATAAATAGCCTATTTTAATTAGGTTTCTGAAATTCATGTTTTTAATGAAGGGCTGTTGTTAAGGTTACCTTTGTTACCTGCCAATCTGATTTCAAATTAGAGTTCCCAAGTTTAATGTTGAATTTTATTATTTTTGGCAACTTGTGTCATTCCCATAGTATTTGTTGGAATTGCTCACAATAATGGCAAGGTGAAAGAAGGGAAGGGAAAGGACAATTTAGATCGATCTATCAGGAAGTAATCTGAATTTCTTCTGGTTTAAATATAGATAAACGTAGATATAGTGTGGCACATTGCAGTGGAGAAAAATCCGCTTACATCTGGAAAAGCATTAAAGGCTACTTTAGCATATACTAAGGCTATTCTCTGTATTAGCATTTTTCCTGTGATCTGTAGGCATTTCTTTCCTGATGCTATTTCTGCTCAATATTCAATTTTCCCCTAGTGAGTCAATTAGGGCTACAATAAATGCTTGTTGCAAAAATCTGTATGACTGCTAGAGGGCGAAACATTTTCTGTGTCACTTTCCTGCCATCAAGTGGTCATACGGATTGTTGCAGAGCTGTTCAACTATGTAAGACATTAAAACAAATGATATTTACTATTTTTCATTTATACTTTATTATTAATTTGTCTTCACTGAGTAGCAGTTGAATTTAAAAATAAAAACTGGTAAATAAAAAAATAAAAAATAAACATTTATTTAGATGTCCAATATCGGAGAAACTAATACTGTGTTTCCCCAAAAATAAAACCCTGTCTTAAATTTTTTGTGAACTCCGAAATAAGCGCTTGGCCTTATTTTTGGGGAGGTCTTATTATTTTGGGGCGCATGGAACAAGATGGGGCTCCTCTTGCCGTCTTACTTGATTTCCAGCTCTGCGTTTAAATATTTTCAGGGAGGGCTTATTTTCGGGGGAAGGCTTATTTTAGTGCATGCGCTCAAAAGCCCGATTGGGCTTATTATCAGGGGATGTCTTATTTTCGGGGAAACAGGATATACACACGTAATATAGGGTTATAGTACTGTATTGAATTAACTGAGAATAACTATAATTACCAAGACTAATTCTCTTTTTTTTAAAATAAATTTTATTTCTTTAAAAAAATACAAACAGAAAGTTTATCAATAAACAGATCACAGTGAGAACCTTACACAATACATTACATTCAGTCCAAATACTGTATACAAAAGAGAGGTAAAAACTAAGCTAACATTGTCCTCTTTTTATTCTATTATTTAACCAAACATACCATAGGTCCCAACATTGGAAATATGCAGAATCTTTTTGATCTCTTAAAATTTTTGTTAGCCTATCGGCTTCTGCACATTCCATAATTTTCCCTAAAATCATATCTTCAGACGGTAGGTCTTTACCCTTCCAATTTTGGGCAAGACATATTCTTGCTGCAGTTGTAATATAGACAATCAGATACCATTTGTTAGTGCCTATTTTATCTGGCCTAATGTTTAATAAGTAAAATAAGTAAAACTGAAACCCAAGACTAAATCTCAATGGAGATGTCTAAGATTTCATGGTTAAGATATATTCTAAGGTTCAACCACATGTCCGTATCCTTTGAACACATTTCAGAGAATATTTAAGTGGACTTCCTTCTTCATGGGAGGGAATAGGATTTCCTTAAGGTATGCTTAGGAGGGTACACATTTATTATACTTGCAATTCAACTTTATGTATATCTGCATCACATAAATCTCCTAGTGTTCAGTAGGAGTTATTTTCAAGAAATGGTACGGAATTACTGTACTTCTTTAAATAAAATAATCATCATTCTAATTTTTTTTTCAGATTAGATTTTTTTTCCTGTTAGTGTTTTTTAGTTGTACAGTAATATTTTTAAGGATGTTTTATCCCCTCCCCCTTTATTTTAAATGTACAATATTTATGGTAAATAAACACAAAAACATTATTTACAAGAAATATACAATTAGAGTACGTATTGGATTGGTCATTAACTTTTACTCCCACTGTTCAGTAATTAATGCTGTAAATAATGAGCACTTACTTGCTCATTCAGCATTTTCTGTATTAGTTATTGCAACAAGTGTTTTGGCATAACCAATAGGAATGGGACAAGAAGCGGTTCCAGTAAGTCTTTTCCAGGGGTGGGTTGCTGGGGATTCGCAGGGGTTCGGGAAAACTTCTAGCTAAGATTCTGTGCAGTTTGGAGAACCCCCAAATCCCACTCCTGGCTGGCCCCTCCCACCCTTCCCCTCCCAGAGTTCCCACGCGGCCTGTTTTGGCTGCAGGTAAGTGCAGGGCGCGCACGGAGGCTCAGGGAGGGCGAAAAATGGACCTACCGGAAGTTCGGGAAGGCCAGAAACGGCCCATTTCCAGCCTCCAGAGGGCCTCCAGAGCCTGGGGAGGCTATTTTTGCTCTCCCAGAGGCTCGAGGAAAGCCTCCGGATCCCGGAGAGGGCAAACACACACACATCGCCGCCGTGGTGCAGGAGGCCGACTAGGCATGCCCACCTAGCAACCAGGCAGAGAACCCCTTGCTAAAGTTTTTGGAGCCCACGCCTGGTCTTTTCACATACAAAAAACTATAGCATAAAGTGTAGAGGTGTGATGTGTAATTGAAAACAAAGGGACTAGAAGTCCTGGGAAACCAAGATCTCTGTGTACTGGTGTGAAAATCGATTTAAGGCTATAATTGTATGCTTATTTACATGGAACAACATTTCAGTAGGATTTAATTCTGAATAACTGGAATTAGAATTGTTTCTCTAAGTGCCCCACAGGAAGGTATTGACTGCATTGTGGATCCTGTTCAGTTCAGTTTTTTGCCCATGCTTTAACTTGCTTGAGCTGGAGTGAGGTTGTCCTAGTGATCATAATACAGGGATAACATTTAGGTGAATTAACCAAATGATGCTTCTGCTGCAAACTAAGACTATTTGTTATTACAGTTTTCGGAAAAACCAAATCTTCCCTTATAATTGTAGAATCTAAACAAACCATAAGGAAGCATCCACCCTTAAACTGCAATGAAATTTCGCTAGCAAAATATCATTTTGTTAATAACCCCCGTTGATAATCATTATGTCTTCATCTCAGTGTGTCTTTGGGGATAATGAGAATTGTGTGATATATCTGTAAAGTCCAGTATAGAAGAGGCAGCTTTAGTTACATAAACTCCTGAAAGCTACCTGGGATAGGTCCGCCAATGCACAGAATTCCCATTGAAGTTTCTGAAATTATGCAATTCTAGACCCTTCCTTTTCATATTCCATTTTTTTAGGCAATCTACAAGATGGTTTCTTCAGTTATGAAGATGCCAGAAGATGAATCAACACCAGAGAAAAGAACTGAGAAAATCTTTCGCCAGATGGATACCAACAGAGACGGTAAATTATCTTTGGATTAGCTTCCTTTTAACTTGCTTCTGTTGTTTCTGATCTCTCGATGCCTTTTGAAGAGCAGACTTGAATAAGTAGCAGCAGTGGTGAAATCTAAATCTTTTTACTACCGGTTCTGTGGGCGTGGCTTGGTGGGCGTGGTGTGGCTTGGTGGCGTGGTAGAGGAAGGATACTGCAAAATCTCCATTCCCACCCCACTCCAGGGGAAGGATACTGTCAGCTCCAGCGTGCTCAGCTCAGAACCACCATGTGGTGGGGTGGGGGCAGAGAGAGAAAAGTCTTACTGCAAACACCAGACATTGTCATGCCCCTTACAGCCTGAGGCGAACCTCAGGAGCACAACTTACAACTTGGGGGGGGGGGGGGGGTTGGTGGGCGTTGCAAGGGAAGGATATTGCAAAATCTCCATTCCTACCCCACTCTGGGGCCAGCCAGAGGTGGTATTTGCCGGTTCTCCAAACTACTCAAAATTTCTGCTCTCAGTTCTCCAGAACCTGTCAGAAACTGCTGGATTTCACCCCTGAGTAGGAGTATGCCACTGATTCATAGATCCAGCAATAAACCTCTGTGAAAGAATGATGGCTAATGTTACTGTGAAAAAGTTTTGGCAAGCCAAATGCTGCTTCTTGTTAGGTTGCTGTCTTGCAGCTCAACCCATTACTCAGATAAGGGACCCCTATGCTAAACAATGCAGGGCAAGAGATACGGTACAAAAGATCAGGTGGGAAAATGGGTGGAAAAAGTTGTGGTTGCCTCCTTGACTAATTCAGTAACAGATTCAACGCTGCAGAAATTTTATATATAGAGGCAATCATGATGCTTCAGATCAAGATGTTATTTTTAAGGAAAACATTTATAGGGTTATATTTGCTTGTATATACTGGCTAAATTTGCATTGCATATTAAACCATAAAATGTAGTTTACAAATCACAGGGATTAAACCAAATCTCAAATAAATTATGACAATATGTTGCATGAATTATATTATGTTTTGTTTTGGATTAGCATGTTGGGAGCACAAAGTATAGTGGTACCTCGGTACTCATCATTAATTGGTTCTGGGAGGCACGATGAGTACCAAATTTTTCCATAAGGAATAATGTAGTGAGTCACAATACAGCCGACACTGACAAGTTCTAACTTTTGCATTGCATACCAAACAAATGATGAGTCCCGGGACAAAGTTTTCCCATCAAAATATGTTGAGTACCAAATTTGATGAGTTTCAAAGCAGTTGAGTACCAAGGTACCCCTGATTTTTTTTTTCAATTTTTATTTATAAGTACAAACTACACAGAACAATGAAATGTACAAAACATAAAAACATATAAACACCCATTTCAATACATGTCCAGTTTGTCGCAACTGTAATATACATTTCTCTTTGTATTTTGACTCTTCCTTATTTGGTCATTCCCTTTTGTCTATCTACTATTGATCTTTGTTGACCTATTTCTGTTCTTTGTTTCCATCATACTATATTTGGTCATTTTGTTTACTTCCTATTGTTTCATCTCTTTCCTATCTTTCAACCAACTATACCACTTTTCCCATACTAAGTAAAAGTCATGTTCTTCCCTATTTTGTAATTTCTTTGTGAGTCTATCTAATTCCGCACATTCCATAATTTTATTGATTACTTTATCTGGTGTTGGTATATCACTACTCTTCCAGTGTTGCGCGTATAGTATTCGTGCTGCTGTTATCATATGTATAATTAAATATGTTGTTTCTTTTTCATAGTGTCCATTTACTATGCCTAGTAGGAAGCTTTCTGGTCTTAGTTCTATCTTTTGGTGTGTTATTTCCTCTATTTGTATTTTGATCCTTTGCCAATATTGTTTCGCCATTGGGCAAGTCCACCACATATGGTAATAGGTGCCTTTGTGGTGGTTGCATTTCCAACATGTTGATGGTACCCCTGATTTTTTAACCATAATTTATGGCCTAGCATACTCTCTGAACCTAATAATAAGTAGTGATGATTCATATTTATTTTGAAAACCCAAACCAACATCTCTGTTTATTTTTTAGGAAAACTTTCTCTGGAAGAGTTCATTCGAGGAGCCAAAAGCGACCCATCTATTGTCCGTCTCCTTCAATGTGATCCCAGCAGTGCTGGACAGTTTTAAAACTGATGTTTATTATTACTTTGTGTCTTTCTGGTTTGTTTCTTTTGTCTCATATATCTCTTCACCAGAACAACATTCATGGGTGTTGCCTTTTTAAGGCTACCTTTGCCTTCTTTTGTGGCATTATCTGCTTTCCTCGTGGCCAGCCATGAAGATGTTGTGCTTACAGTCTCTCTAAAATGCATCCCGGATTACAGAGAGTGCAACTGTCACAACAGTGTCCTTTTTCAAATTGTAATTATTTGTGGCCTGTGTGCCACTGAGTATGAATAGGACTTACTTCCTAATTGGGTTAATTGCCTTAAGTCTTGTCTAGTTTGCCAATTCCAAACTGGTTCCAAAACTCTGTAAGATCTGAGGCACATGTGGAGAAGACTGAAGTCAGCCAATAATTGCCATCAATCAATCAAATCTTTATTACGGTCAAAGACCAGCATAAGGAGGATGGAATACAGTCAATTAAAAAGCATAGAACATACATAAAGTAATTGTAAAAAAACCCCCAAAAACTATAAAACAAAGTATATATAAAAACAGAAGATTTAAAGAAATCTTAACAGGAGGGGTAGAAGCATTAAATGGGTGTAGGGAGCATGAAGGACAGTGTGGCAAACTCAATCTACCATAGTAAAGAGCATTCTTGTATAATGAACTAAATGCTCCTTATTATTAGTTTATGGAACATCTGATGGATGTTCAGCAGTGGTGCACAGAACCTGACAATATATGTTACAGCAAGGTTAGCATCTGAAAGCAGCAGGAAGGGGTAAAATAGTATTGTGCACTCCGGATATGTATGCAATAGTGGAGAGATAATGCTAATATGAATGTCTTTGCAAAAGAGGCAGAGGACAAGTATATGCTCTGTTGTTTTTGTGTGTCCAGTAGCACAGAGACATCATCTCTCTGGATAGGAAATCTTACTGTATTGGCTTTCAAAGACAGCTGAGGGACATCAATCCAGAGTAAAAACTCTACATTCATTAGGTACTTCAAGTTTGGTTAGGTATGCCATTGGGGAGTACCTGCCATCTTCACTGGCAGTAAAGATTGGGGACTTGGCTAGATCCAGATGGTGCTACATTCCATTTAATGAGTGTCTTGTCCCCAATAGCTACCATGTACCTTCCAATATTGGGGAATGCCAAACAAGATTTTTTTAAAATGTCATTCTAGTGAATAAAGAGGCCAGTGATCTTGGGGGGCTTAATACATTTGCCAGGGAGAGTGTGCTAATGTTTACATGAGATCTGGGGTTAAGATACCTTATGTACAAATTTCTGTTACCATATGAGATTAGACACAGGCTGTATTATTCGCTACACATTTTCCTTAAAGGTATTGAAAAATAGCTTATGCTAGGACTTAGGGTTAAATTCGTAGCTGTGAGAAGTACATGAAGAGCCAGTTTGGTCTAGTAGCTAAACTGCTAGATTAGAAGCCGAGATACTAGATAGTTCTGCCTTAGACATGGAAACCAGCTGGCTGACTCTGGACCAATCTCTCTCACACTTAGAAAGAAAGCATTGGCAGGCTACTTCTTAAAATGTTGCCAAGACTTATCTCTGTAGTCATCAGGAATCAGGGTTATTTCAATGGACCATAACAGCAACAGAAGCACTACTACTGTTGAAGAAATCAATGCAAATCTTATTTTCCAATAGAGAAGCCAAGATGGTAAATTAAATATGTGCATTCATTCTAAGAAATCCTTAGTGATTAGTATATGAGGTATGAAATCCCTTTTCTAAATGATGGTGATTTCAATCCTCCAGTCTGAATGTTGCAACAAAGGGACCAATGGCACCATGGAGCTAAATTTAAGTAATACACAATTAATGTTTTGTCTGCAAAGCTGTGAACTATAACAGAATTAATGATAAGAAATAACTAACACTAGCCTATGCCTGTACCCTTCAGAGATGCCATACTATTTGTAAAATTATAGAAAATAATGGGTTTGTACAGATTATATTAATATTTCCGCTATTTTAAAAAAACCAACCAGATTTCTACAAATGAAATTCCTTATTCTTAAATAGAGATTCATTTAGAGAAAAGGCAGAGGAGAATTATATTTTATTTATCATTATCTTGTTTATCATTTAGCATCTTGAATCAGGAAGTCATTGTGCACGTTGAGAACTTGAGCTGAAGAAAACTGAGTTAAATATTGAGACTAATTTATGCCATTAGAGGAGAATGAAGGCACTTTTTTTAATCTGAAAGGCCTCTAGCTTTGAAGAACTTCAGGAAAATGAGAGGATTTGGTGATAATAGAATATTGTACCTGCATGTTACAGAGCCTTATTTTGTTTGTACTTAGTTGAGGAGAATCGGTAGTTCCAATATAATTGAAAACATATTTTCTAAGCATGTAACTTTGCTAAGATAGATTTGCAGAGTAGAAATAAAGCAGGCAGGAAAGACATGGTTATACACGATCTTTTGCCACGCCAAAGCCATTTCCCTCTTTAGCTTCAGTCTTGAAGCTTGGCTTTTAGAAAAACAATAGAAATGGGAAACAGGGCATTGTTCCAGGGAAGAATTAGAGATCTGGAAGTACATGCAAAAAGGAGAATCAGCTGGCAGGGAAGACATCTATATATTTAACCATTTAGGCACCAGCCAGGTTTTCCTCTTCAAATATCTTGCCAAGGCAATTTCCTCCATCATCAATGATTTTGGAGCCCCATTGGCACAAAAAGAGCAGAAAGGAAATATTGTAATGGAGAATTGGAAGGGGTTAACATTGCTGTGGTGTTGCAATTCCCTTTCTTACATAATAGTAGCATTTGCTTTGTAACATGTAGTTTTGCTCAAGTTCGAATGGAAAAGGGTTCAAAGAAATTGCATTATTTACTGTAAGCACTTGACACCCAAGGAGGAGATTGATGTGACTGCATTTCAAGTTCTGGAGTGGCAGAGAAAGAATTCTTCCAAGGTAGATTCCCTACCTCAATCATTTTCATACCCCAGAAGTAACTTGTAAAATTTATGCACAGTCACGCATGCCCTAGTCACTTCTCGCCTGGACTACTGTAACGCTCTCTACATGGGGCTCCCCTTGAGGAACACCCGGAGGCTCCAACTGGTCCAGAACGCGGCCGCGCGGGTGATTATGGGAGCGACTTGGTGCTCCCATATAACACCTCTCCTGCGCAAGCTGCACTGGCTTCCAGTGGTCTTCCGGGTGAGCTTCAAGGTATTGGTTCTCACCTTTAAAGCGCTCCATGGCTTAGGGCCAGGGTATTTACGAGACCGCCTTCTGCAACCAATAACCTCCCACCGGCCAATACGCTGTCACAGAGAGGGCCTCCTCAGGGTGCCGTCGGTCAAGCAATGTCGGCTGGCGGCTCCCAGGGGGAGAGCCTTCTCTGTGGGGGCACCCACCCTCTGGAATGAGCTCCCTCCCGGAATACGACTGATCCCAGACCTCTGTACTTTCCGTAAGGCCCTGAAGACTTTTTTATTCCACCAAGCCGGCCTAGCCTAAAAGGTCTTATGGGTTAGTTTTTTAAATTGTATAGATGTGGGGTTTTAAATTGCGAGGCCGATTGATTTAATTGATTTTAGTTATTTTAACTTTTATATTATATGTATCTTAATTCCGGCTTAATTCCTGAGTCCTTTGGGAGAAGGGTGGTATATAAATTTAAATAAATAAATAAATAAATAAATAAATAAATAAATAAATAAATAATAAAACAGCCTGTGTTTCTTCCAAATTCATCCTGCTCACCATGTGACGGCAGGTTCGCAAAAGTGCAGATCTAAGCTGCACCTCAAAAGACATAAAATACAGGACTCATGTAGGTCTTAATTAAAATACAGGATACCACTTATAATGTATTTATAAATATATCAATATGCATGCACACGCGTGCACGCACACACACATATAATGGACTTTTTAAAAAATGTTTTGTGCTTTTTATTCAAAGGTAACTGTTTTATTATACAGTTATCTTCTCCTCCAACTCTTTGAAATCCCTTCTACAAAACTTTAGCTAAGTTGAAGACAAATGGATGGACACAATGGAGTTTATAAACATTTTGGAACCCTTCCCAAAGCAACTGTCTGGTTTCATGATTTGTCAGGCAGCAGTTTCAGTTCAGAACTTGGGAATAAGCTGGTTAAGGGGGCTCTTTTTTGCCTTGTAGCGCACCAGGGTTGCTTGGCATGTAAGAGAAGGTGATAGGGAAGACCTTATTGGCATAGTTAAGTGGGAACAGAGCAGGGGTGAAATTCAGCCAGTTCTATCCGGCTCGGGCAAACTGGTAGCGGTGGCTGCAGGAGGCTGCGTCTACCTGCGCGGATGTCATGACGTTGCTTTTTTGCAACATTTTAAGCCTCTGCGCATTCGCACATTTGCGAACCAATAGGGAAGATAAGTGAATTTCACCCCTGGAACAGAGGCAGTGTTTATAAAGAACAATAGTTCCGTTCGACCTAAATTGTTAAATTTGTTTCAGTAAGGAAACTGCTTGTGGAAAAGATTTCAACCAAGGGGTTGGTTGTGAGATGATTAGTGCTATTTATGGTAAGAAGGATTCTTTTTAAAATATTTATTTGGGTTTTGTTACATATTTTTTGAATTCCACCCAAAAAGGAAACTGGACAAATCCTCTCATGAGCATTTAACTCGGAGTTGGCTGAAAGTTTAGATTTCTGGCCTTTTTTTTTTTATTGCTTTTTTTGGCCTCTAAAAACCATGAGATGTAACAATCTTGGCCTGGAAGAACTTTTTAAAGTTTCTGCTTTCAGGAGGTTTTTGAAGGTTGCATGAAGAGATATGTAAAGTTTATCCCCAAAGAATTGAAGAATCATGCTTCTGAATTTTATTTTTTTTTGCTACTACAATTGGATTTACGGTAAAAAAAAAAAATGGGGGAGGGGATAGGGAAATTATGTATGATTTCTCAGTTGTGAATTTACAGAGCTGAGAACCAATTTGTTCCACGTCCAGGCGCTGCAATCAAGAATAACACCCTGCAAAATGCTTTGTGTTGTTATGAGGCAGTGTGTTATTTTTCTTCTAAAAATAAAAAGCCAGAGCCCAGCAACATCTTTGATTTGAAAGAGCACTGGGCACCTAACAAATTTATGCCTGGATATTTTTATTGAAATAATGGACATAATGTTGGTAAGGTAAAACTGTATATAAAACAGGCAGTAAGTGGTTTGTATTTTCACCAATCCACCTGACTACAATATTTGATATAGCACTATATTAAAAGTTAGCCATTCTTTAATGATGAGTCTCACAAGCCCATCATTGTAAATTTAAAGCATTTCTGACCAAATTTCTAAAGTGTTTTGCTTTATGAAGAAATGGGTGTTCATAAGATTGCTTAAGAGTATTTTAAATCATTTGTCTCAATAGCTGATTTCAAAATAAAAAAAGCAAATTTACCAAAAGTCTAATTCAGGTCATGCAAGGGTATGGCCACAATTCGTTCTTTCAAAAAAGCAGCCAGATGTGTCTTGGGTTTCCCCCCCTTTTTTTAAAAACATTGCCTTTTGTTTAAGCAGCTGTGTTCATCCATTTGCTTGGATGCTTGGCAAATCTTTTGGCCCAGAGCCTTGTTTCCTGATTTAGGGACTCAGTGTGTGGTTTCCTCTCTGCTTACTTAAAATATGAAGAACAGAATACGTTTTTATATTAATGGTTGGAAGCAGAAACCATTTGGATGCTAAAGTCCCGAGAACAGCCGCAAGGAAGAGAAGTAAGGCTAGATTTTAACTGGTATATTAACATGTCCTTGTTCCTCCCAAATTGGTGTTCTGGAAATAGAAGGGTTTATTTATTTATTTATTAAATTTGTATACCACCCTTCTCCTGCTGGACTCAGGGCGGTGCACAGCCAAAATTAAAAAACATTCCAATACAAAATTTAAATTTTTTTAAAAAATTACACAACTTTGGCCCAAAATTTAAAACATCCCAACTAAAACCCATAGACAATTAAAAATCTAACATTTCAAAAAAAAAGGGGGGGGGTTCCTTTGTTCAGAATGGGATAACTCACTGCGGCCAGTTCACCACAGCTAATTTGTCACAGGACAACTCGCCATAGTCAACTTGCTGCAGGACAACTTGCCATGCAACAATTCAACAGTTCAATTTAATTATTTTAAATAATTTAAATTTTTGTTATTCACATTTCATTTGGTCCCTCGTTTGGCATCCTTTCTTTAATGATTCCATCATTTCTTCAATATTAGTGTAACTCAGCAAAGTGTCCCGTGGCAAATTGGCCATAGCGAGTTGGATGCAGCGAGTTGGCTGCTGTGAGTTGTCTTAGACCCCCTTTGTTTATGGAACAAATAGGAATCTAGGACAGGGGTCTCCAACCTTGGCAACTTTAAGAATTGTGGACATCAATTCCCAGAATTGAAGTCAACAAGTCTTAAAGTTGCCAAGATTGGAAACCCCTGATCTAGAAGAACATTCCCCTTCCTCCCCTGAGGAAGAGTAGGAAATTTTCAACAGTAATGTTTTCTTCTACCCTCTCCACATTACCCAGATCCCCAGCTCACAGATTTTGCAGAAAAATATTCTGTGTACAGTTGACCAGCATTTGTGTTCACTCATTTTATGTGCTCAAGTTTCCATTGTTCCTATAAAAAGATATGAGTAAGATCCAGTGGAAACATGGATGTCCATTGAGAGGGACAGTTGTGGAATTATTGTCTTGATTCACGTAACGTGTGTCCCTGATGCAGGTAAAAAAGGTCAGGTCTTCCATCACACAGTTGTGGCCACCATCTTTACATCCACTGCATGGACATCTCTGAATGGGAAAACGTTGTGATCAGGCATAAGATGCAGACTTTTCTACAACTTAGCTTCCATGTTTTATCTTAAATCAACAGAGTCAGCAGCTGTGTCAGAAAGAAGATGGAGGGAAGTCTTTTGTTTCTAGAGACCAATTACAAGATGGTTGTCTTTGACCCATAATTCAGTCTTAAGTACCATTTTAGCAGTGATGTGCATTGTCAGTCTATAGCTATCCATGCTCTGACAACTTGTTGCAATACTGGCAACCCTGAGGGAGTGCAGAGGCATTTTTTTCCTTTATTCTTGTTGAAGAGCTGATATATCAAGAATAAACAATTCATGCCAAATGTTGAGATGTTTTCACACTAGCATATATGCAAGCACACACCTGAAAGAGATTTCAGGGTTCCTTTTTAATACATATGGCTTTATTGTAGGCCTTTGCAGGTAAACATTAAATTCAGAACAATTTCCATTTGCTTGATTGCAGCCTTTTGGAGATTGCAGCCTTTTGGAGATGCTGATGCAAAGCTTGAGGGAGCGTTCCTTTAATTTCCAGTATTACCACACATTTTGGAGCCGATTGTTCCGTTCTATTCTCAGTTATTTTAGGGTAGCGCAAGCAATCTTAGAACTGAAAAAAGATTCAGGAACAAATTTAGAACACAATAAGTGCTGCTTTGCTATCTACAGAATTTCCATGGCAGTAAAGCTATCAGTGTGTTGACCTTAGTTTAGAGGATGCTGGTCATAGCTGTGTTTCATTGACATCTGTGAGACACATCGGTCATGATCCACATGAGTCTCTCTGATTTCAGGAGGACGTGAGTACAGTTAACTAGCCCAGGATGGCCTCAGATCTGTGGGTTTGTTACAAATCAGCCCTTTTTCTATGTATGTGTAGTGTGAATCACCCATGCATTAGTGTGAAGCAACCATGCACCATACTATGTTCATCAGTATCCAAACTATGTAGCATGCTTCCTGATCAAGTTAAGGAATCCATCAATAAAAGTGGCTTCTGTGGATGTTATTTCCTTTCAGGGATCAAGTGAAAAAGTATATATTGTTTTTAAATGTTCAGCATGATACGTTAAAGCATATCTGTAGAACATAACCCACTTAGTTCATTTGAGAAGTAGAGCTGATTCGATGAATGATAATATAATTTCTGTGTTCCGAAGCATGGCATTCATGGTTTCCTTTTCTATGCTTTTTGCTGGAATATATTTTTCCTACCCTGGGATATGCACTTGTATTTCTGTATTTACTGTTCTGAAAATGACTTTAACTGTACTGACTAGTTTCCTATGGGATGAGCTCTTCCGTCCATCATTCACATGATATGCAAATTCTGTGAAAGTCTTAACAGTGTGATTTGCATTTTTAAAGCAGTACTGACTGTGTGATCCTAGTGTGTGTTGGTAGTGGCCATGTTGTTGTAAAGTGTAAGGGGAAAAAGCTACTTAAATCTGAATCCTTAGTGTTTGGTTTATTAAAAGTATTGAGACCTGCATGTTAATTAAACTGATTATTCCTCTCTACCCCATTGCTATGATGATGCACAAATGATGCAATTGTTTTTACTTGTATAGGGAACTTGCATTCCATGTTTGTCCACTTGTTTAAAATTGCAACTTGTTATTATGATCTGCCTGAAAAGTCTTCCTTCCTTCCTTCCTTCCTTCCTTCCTTCCTTCCTTCCTTCCTTCCTTCCTTCCTTCTTTCCTCCCCTCCCCTCCCCTCCCCTCCCCTCCTATTGGTCTTTTCATAGAAAAATTGATCCTGAAAAAAGGTCATTTCTGTAAATTCCTATCCACATGGTTTGTATTATCTTTCCTTATCCTGCCCTGGAAATATGTTGGAAACCTACTTTCAGAATTCTCAGCCAGCACACTATTCATCTTGCTGCTGGGAATCTTGGAAACTGAAGTCCAAAACACATGTGGAGATTCCATTTGGAAAATAGCTGATGTATAATTTTATGTTAAACAGATACATTAAAAGTTATTATATTGAATTATTTTTATCAACTCAATTTCATGCATCGATGAATTAGTAAATATCAACAGCTTGCAAGATGGCTTTAAACATGCTTAACCTTTTTTTTATATTAAACCCTATGTTTCCTAGATCTGTTTAATTCCCCCCCCCCAAAGTGTTCAAATTTGATATCAGAATCAAAATTAGAAATGTTACAGTCGATTGAGATTAAATCATGCGCATAGATACTGACCAGGTGGAAAATTTGGATATTGTCTTATTGATGTTTTTTTTCCTCATGATTTATTTGTTTTAGCAGTGGAATGGAGCCCACATTTCTTTAATGTATATTGAAGTGCAGTATAATATATGCAGACACTTAACAGCAACATTGGTGATTGGTTTTAAAAAGAGAGGTAGAATCAGAGAGAGAACGGTGAACCTGTGATCATGTATTTTTACAGTGCCAAACATATGAAAAATATTGTTTGAAGAAAAGTAAGAATTTTTTTACTGTATTACTGCTGAACAAATGTTGTTTTTAAATGTTGAATTTTAAATAATTTTGTATTGTATACCATTTTGTGACATGGTACTTTTTCATACTGGAATAATTGATTGCACCTGATCATAATTGTATTTTTTCCTTTTATGAATACATAATTGTAACCCACTATTTTTGAAAGGTGTGCAGATATCATGTATGTCATGGTACGCCTAAATTTTGTTTTCTCTTCCAACTATTCACTGCCGTTACGCTTTCTAGAAAGTTCAGTTCCATCTTTCTTGAGGAAAACCAAAATCATTTTCGGAAGCCCCCAGCATGATTTCAAAATATTCTGGGTATTCCTGCTCTCATACAGCCTATGGATGTCCACAGCAGTTCAGAAAAGTCAAAATGGCAGTGGTCTTTCAGATAAGTGCAATATTCATGGTTTTTGACACCAAGAGGCATGAAACACCTATCACTTCACCAGAAAGCAATGTACAATCATTTTAGAAATCGATATAAAATTATTGTCAAAATGAAAGTTGGAGGGAAAAGACCAGATAGATTGCTTTTTGATGGTTTAGAAGATTTTATGTCTTTTGCTTTGTCTGTGAGCGTGTCAAAGGAATGTTTTACTTAATTGCTGGCTGCCACATTTTGGCTAGACAATTGACTGCAATTCTACAGCTCTGAGTTTGAGTATGAATTTAAAGTGTGGCCAAGTAACAGCAAACAATAAGAAAATGTAGGACTGCCCTAGCAACTACAGGTGCTGCAGTCACACCTGCTGTTCATTCCATCATAGCTCCAGATGAATGCCTTTTGAATCGTATCTCACTATTAATAAGGACGTGTGATTGGAATGTGTTGCCAGTGAAGCCCACATGAAGTATAAGCTCTTGGAGTTGAGTTTGCTCAAACTTAATTAAAACTCCAAACTTCAAATTAAACCGTGGTTGGCTAATTTAACACTCAGTGACTGGGTTCACATAATAAACTAGATTAGGCTAAAATAAGGTTAGTGTCTCATGTGAAACAAGCCATAATAGTTTAGAATAGAAGAATAGAATAGAATAGAATAGAATAGAATAGAATAGAATAGAATAGAATAGAATAGAATAGAATAGAATAGAATTCTTTATTGGCCAAGTGTGATTGGACACACAAGGAATTTGTCTTGGTACATATGCTCTCAGTGTACAGAAAAGAAAATATACTTATTCATAAAAGATATTTATTCAGACATGGCATGTTTTGTAAAGATGAGCACTGTGTACAGGTAGTCCTCGTTTAATGATCACATTTGGGACCAGCAAGTCTCACTAAAATGTTCACTAAGTGAAACAAGATTTTATGATCCTATTTCAGCTTTCCTTCACTTTATAGTTCTCCAAAGGTTGTAAAAGCAAGACTTGGTTGTAGAATTACTTTTTCACTACTGTTGTAATGGTGAATGGCCACTAAATGAAGACTGCCTGTATTGTTAAACTAGATTTAGATGTATTGTTCTGTGTGAATCCAGGCATAATATGGCCCAAGTAGTTAATATATAATCCAATGTGTACTTTTGAGGGAATGTAAATAAATACCCAGGGATGACTAGCATCTGTGGGGAAAAAAGATCAAAAGATGGTTATACTTTATCAACATTTATTTCTTTCCATTTAAAAATGTACAAAAAATATAAACCTGTATTATTTATATGCTTATAGATTCCCCTTTCCCATTTACAAAACTATCATTAGGTAACACGCAATATTTATACACAAAGCTTGCTTTCCAGAAATAAGGACACTGCACAGAGTTTTTGGCATAAGTACTCTTTCATTTTTGCACCATGTCAGTATCTTGCTGGAGGAATTGAAATTAGAAGAAGGAAACCATCAAGATTAGAACAATTAACAAACATTATCCACTTTAAAAATTTCAGGCCTTCTCCTCATACAATTTTTGCAGTTTTTGCAGGCTGAACCCACAATTTTTCAATCATTGTGTCATGACATGAGAAATTTTGCTAAGTTGTATATTTCCAAATTAGAACCAAAGACAATAAACAGGAAGAAAGTTTCAAATCATAAATCCAATGCTTCTATGTCTGTATCAGCCATTTTTATTTGGCAATGAGATCAATAACAAAAAGAAAAAAAATAGAAAGCTAAATTAAGCTTCTATATGCCCCCGTTTATCCCATGTAAAAGTAAAAGATAAGTTAAAAATGGATAGACTTAACTGATCATGATTAAATTTGCTAGGATAAGAAGACATAACATGCCCCTTGCAATTAGACAAGTCAATGGCTGACATTAACTGTGCAACATTTAGTGCTGAGATCTGTAAAGCATCACCTTATCATGGGATGAGAGCTTTTGATATTTAAGGGATATATCACTCCTGTATAATCTGCAATTCTTTTTGATTCCATAATATGTTATAAAGCTTTTAAGTTCAACTTCCTGAAAATTTCATTAAAAAAACACCCCAAGCTTCTAATCCATATAGACTGTACCGATTTATTAAAAGATTCTCAATGCATGAATGCAAAATCTGTAAATGCTACATATTGTCCCTGAACTAACTCCTTGACTAATGGATGCATCATCAAGGCCACACACAAAAAAAATCTTTATTTCAGAAGATAATAATCATTTTTCATTTTCAGCATTATAACCTAATCTACTGAGATACTTGTGAACATTTGCTCCTTGACCTAGTAGATCAGGGGTACCCAATCCCCGATCTGGCACTGGTCTGCAACATGCCAGAAACTGGTCCATGCAAACAAGCAATGCCCCATCCACGGGATGCAGGCAGCACACAAAACCATGCCCCTTTGGGTCTGCGGAAAAACCCCTCTCCATGGAACCAGTCCCTGGTGCCCAAAAGGTTGAGGGAAGTGGTAATAGATTATTTGGTTTCCGCAACCTGCTAAGATATTAAATAAACCATCATTTAGTTGGCTTTTTGTCTGATCCAACCAACCATAAAATATACAGTTCAGAGATACACTGGACCTTTCTGGGGTGTTTGCAAAGCTGCATTCCAAAAAAAGCAGCGTATTGGATCAGGAGGGAATAAATTTCATTTCATTTGCATAGATATTAATTAAATATTAAAATTTGGTACCAGTTTCTGCGATACTAGGAACTGTGCCCCACTACTAGATGAACCTAGGTTTCTGAATGGACAACTTCACCATAAATATGGTTTACACCAAAATGGTTGAATCTGCACAAGATGTTTAGACAAAGTCAACCCCCTTATGACTTCTAATTGCTGTTGTAACTGTAAATACCAACACCTATACAGACATCAAAACTCCAAATTCTCATCAACAGCCAAGCTGGCTAGGAATATCTAAAAATTAACATCAATGATCCAGCGCACTTTGGTTAAGAAAAAACTAGCTTACAATGAACCAGTTTAACATACAGTATGTGGTTTCTCCATCTTGCACAACAGAACACACACAATGTTTTCCGGCTCCACTTAGAACATCAGTAATAAATAGATAACATTTGACGTCTCTTTCATTTCAATGAAACACCTACTTGCCAGTGGGGTCAGGTGGGAGAGCTGAACAAAATCCGAAAGAAACCCTCTAAATCGGGCATCCTCTGTTGAAGGCACTCTGGGTAAGAAAGCTGCCTATGAATAAGAAGACCTAAAGCATGCCTGTCATTGTACTCCTTATTTAAATTACAGTAATTATTTCTAAATTTGTATCTACTGTATGTATAAATTATCACATGCAAATTTCCTGTAAAACTGCAATTTATCTACTTTGGCTGATATATGTCTGCTTTTTTTATCCAACCTATCAAGCGGTAGTGGATTGCAGTGCTCGAGAGATACAGAAGCTTCTGCAGTCTTTGGCAAGTACACCTGATTCCTCATCAACCCTTACTGATCAAAAACAAAGCAAAGCAACATTTGAATCTCACCACTATATGTCATTTTAAAAACCAAGTTTGCTATTTTAAAAAAGGCTGTATAATTTTAATCCATCAGCCTTCAAAGTTTTACACATCTAGGGATATCCAATTTTATGCAAGTATACAAGTGGAGAACAAGGGTGCTTTCTTTCAAAAGGAAAGAAAAATCATCGCCTGAACTTGGAAATTCTGACAAGATTCCAACTGAAAACCAATACATTTACGGTTAAAGAAGCTGTTAATTATATCACAGGTCTGACATTTCTTCTGGGACATCTTAAAACTCAAAAGGCACAAAAATGAGTCAATGAAAATTTAAAACTCAAAGATGTAAAGACCCAAGATGCTACAAGAAAAATAAATGCCTGCAGGATCAAGTGCTCTTTAAAATTGGTAGCAAGCTGATTCATATAAAATAAATCTTTAAAAGCCCTTTTTTCCGATTAGCAACCCAGCCATTGCTAACAGCATGCTAAAGAAAAGTTCTTACACTTGTTCAACTGTGCAGAGGGCAAAAGGAATGTATGGGTGGGTTGAATGACCCAGAAGGTAAATTTTAAGGTCACATTCCCCATGGCCTGAAAAATAAAGGAGTGATTTAGGCAAAGTACAGATCGTAAGAGCCACCATAGAATAGAATAGAATAGAATAGAATAGAATAGAATAGAATAGAATAGAATAGAATAGAATAGAATAGAATAGAATAGAATAGAATAACAGAGTTAGAAAGGACCTTGGAGCTCTTCTAGTCCAACCCCCTGCTTAGGCAGGAAACCCTACACCACTTCAGACAAATGGTTATCCAACATCTTAAAAACTTCCAGTGTTGGAGCATTCACAACTTCTGGAAGCAAGTTGTTCCACTGATTAATTGTTCTAACTGCCAGTTTAGTATAGTGCTTAAAGCACAATACATCAAATGCTAGAAGTCCATAACCTTAGGAAGAAGGCAATGGCAGACCACTTCCAAAATTCTGGCTAAGAGAATTGCTAGGACTAGCCCAGGCAGTTGCCAGGAGACCAACCAACCCAGAACATAGTTGGCATGCAGTCAAATAAATCATTACAGCAGGAATCTTTAGGAGACAATGCTATAAAAACATGGCTACATGAAAAACAGTTATTTTCATATATATCAGGAATCATTGCTTTGCAAGGTTCAGAAAACTGGGAGCTATTGCTCAAACAGAACTGACGGCTTCCTATGTTGGAGAAGGCTTATCTGAGAAATGTTTCTAACCTGATGAAGACAATGGCCTTTTTGTATGCATTACCTCTGTTGTGCTACTCTGCTAATGTCCTTTCCCATCAGCCCAATCCATGGAAGTGCCATTAAAAACAACAAAGTAATACAAAATCTAGACTAGATACTGAATAACAATAACAAAAAAAAAATATGGTAGGCAGTATATGTACACAGATTCAAATCAAGAACAGCAGTCCTCTGTACATTTTTTTTATATTTACATTCTAGTGGGATTTATCGGAAACACTAGTTTTACAAAACAAAAATGAAAAAATGGGAAAAAATGTTCCTACAATACAAATGTCTTTGGAGATATATTGACAAAAAATTTGCAACAGAGTGAGTTGGAAGGGGAAATAAATGATAGCGAACATGATGGGGTCTGACCTGCAGTCTTTCCAAAGTCATTCTGCCATCCATGCAGAATATATATATATATATGGTTTAGGTCCAGTAAGGATAAAAAAAACATCATCATGAATATTGTAAAATGTTCTCAATAAATATGCAGTTCACAAACTGCATTTCAGTGTGAACTACAATGCCAAAAACTACCAAGACTCGTGTATAAAACTAGAGAAGAGCAAATACATTGATTTCATTTTTTTCTCGGTCACTAATTCTTATGAAACTGAAGTCAATTCTTTTCAGATCCTAATTTTTGCAAATATATAGTATATGGTTTGGTTTGTTGCACTTAAGGTTTTTTTTTTTTTGTGGGGGAGAGGAAACTACTAACTTGATATATATTCTGGGACAGCTCTCTCTGTCCATGCTCTTTTGTTTGCAATTTTATCTATTATGCAGGACTTTTACAAATATGTCTCCTAATAATGGAGATTTATTTCATTTATTTATTTGTATCCCGCCTTTACTATTTTTACAAATGGGGCAGCAAACATATCCACCTTCGTTCTCCTATTTTCCCCACATCAAGAACCCTGTGAGGTGAGTCACGCTGAGAAAGAATGACTGGCCAAGTCACCCACCTGGCTTTTAGGGCTAAGAGGAGTAGAATTCATGGTCTCCCAGTTTCTAGCCTGCTTCCTTAATCAGGGGGGTCAAACTCGCGGCCCATGGGCAGATGCATCATGCGCTGGCCACACCCGGTTTAGCGAAGGGGAAAAAGTCATATGTCACATGACGACGCCATGACAATGTAAGTTTGACACCCCTGCACTAGATCAAATCTGCTCTGTAATTTTTGTACACAATTTCATGAAAAATTGCATTTTATACATCTATGAACTGCAAATGTCAGAAAAGTATATTTTAATCAGTATTTTTTCAGTTTGGCTAAAATGCAAGCCAGCTGAATTCATTTCTGGTCCTAATCATGGGTATTGCTTGATTTTTTTAAGAAGAGAAAGGGGAAAAAACCCTTCTGGACATGTACAACGTATTTAGAAATTTAAGTCCAATCCTTAGTTATGAAAAACATTATAAAGTAGCCATCTTCTATTATATAGAAAGCTATTGGGCATTGCTATTCTCTGTTACTCTTGAAGGAAGTATGAGAACCAATTGAACATTAAGAGATGCTTTGAACACGAAACAGGTTGATGTAGCAGATGATGGGTTCTCCTCTGCTAGACATATATACTGGGTATTTCCATCTTTTACAGGTAATCCTCAACATACAACTGTAATCGAGCTAGAATTACAGCTATGAGTTGTGGCAGTTGTTAAGTGGTTCACCATGGGATCATGCCCAATTTTGTACATTTTTTTTTGCAGTGGTCGTTAAATGTTAACGCATTTTTCTCAATGTGTGTTTTTTGATGGAAACCCGAAGTAGACGCCAAAAACTGGCAAAAAATACTGAAAATTGTAGTCATGTGCCCATAGGGCATTGCATATGGTCGTAAATGCAGGTTAGGTGTGTGTATGTGTGTGTGTATCCAGTAGAACTCTAGAACCAGGACCTCTAATGAAGTCAATCATAACTTTGAATGGGTCACTAAGTCACTAAGCAAGGACCACCTGTATTTACATCCTCCAACATATGGCGTGTTCAGGGGATTAGACTCCTCTACATAATTCCAAACTTTCCTTCCAATTTTATAAGCATATAATTTCCCTAAAATGAAAACAAAACATAAAATATCTTGCTAAACTCAGACTGATTCCACGTTGCCAGGAACTTTCAGAGGTAACTTGCATGGAAGAATAACATTTGTTTTAAAAAGGTTGGGTAAAAATTGGAAGCAGCCATTGGTGGGAATGATATAGAAATGTCACATTTATGACTCCCTACATGATGCATTGCAGAAATGAACGCCCATTCATTAAGAATGCATAATACAGAAGATTTAAAAAAAACCAAGGTGAGAGAGGGAGAGAGAGAGAGATAAAAAGGAAAACTACTTCAGAAACTGGAAGACTGCAGCATAATGGAATAAGTCTGACTCTCCAAATGGCCTTCAGTTCTACTCTGTCTTACTTAACGGGAGCTCTAGTCTAAAAATAACAGAAAGCATCTCATTGAAAGACCTGAGAAGCTGGTATATAGTAAGGAAAGAATAATCTTCGTTGTGACAATAAGGCGTTTTAGCTTTCTAATGTGGCTCCTGGATAAGCTTTGAACAAAAGGTATCAAAAACCCTGAAGAATCAACAGCTGGTGAGAGAACTTTGCTCTTTGGCCAGGAACTCTGCCAACTTCTTATCCAAACACAGAATAGAGTGGCAGTAAACACATCCACGCAGATAGGAAAATATATTATTACATATTATAAACAAATATATACAGAGGTTAAAATGGATGGTGTTTTACTTACAAAGTACATGCCATCTGAAAATCTTAAAAGCCCTCAGTTGACCTGCAAAGGGAGGGATATAGCTAAGCTACGTGATACTCAGCACTAGAAGTTTGGTGTACAGTAGGTGTGCAAAGATCATCAGGCATTTTGCACATTGTTAACCCTTATCAGGTTTTCTAGCAATTCATTTAGAGGGTGAAATTTCAGTGATTAACTCCCAGTGGAACTAACATTATTTTTCAACTTATTATTTCTCTTGCATTAACTATTTTTGTTGCTTTCATTTAAAGTCTGTTATATCTTTGCAACATCAAGATTGTGAAGCCTAGGGTCCACTGATTATTTACATATTGCGGAGTGAGGAGCAATAAATAAGGAACTTTATGAAGGAATGTTCTTTTGAACAGACTCGTCAGTAATTGCCAAATTGGCTTCCAGTGGCAAAAAAATGAAATGTGGTTGTTTCCAACTTAGTTTTGTAACAACCTTTCTTCTCCGTATCAATGAAATCAGGGTTTTTATTATTATTTCTTCCTTCCTTGATGGCAAAAAGCTTTCACTTCACAAGGTCTATGCTGGTCTAAACTAGATTTCCGTCAATGTGACCTTGAAACCCTCCATTATGTTCTCCATGTTTAGGATGAAAGTGTCTTCATTGGAATAATGTTCAATGATGTTATCATCCATATTTACCAGAATCCTGAAACAGGAAAGAGATACATTAAGAAAGTTCAGATAATGGCTAAATATACAAACCAATTGTTAGGAAATGATTATTACCTAACTTGTTGGGTTGGCAATATATAAACCATCAATGTAGCTTTAAGACTGCTGTATTGCATCATACTGTGTCCTGATTGGTTAGCTCTGTAGCCAATGTCCTTAAGAGGGAGCTAGAAACATGGTTTGTTCTCTTTGCTGTTCTTGCTCTCTGATATGCTACTGTTTGCATATCCAGAAGAACTATTTATTGTAAATGACTACGACGACTGGTAAGAAGACTTTGTTATTGGATTATCCCTGGACTGTCGTTTTGGCTATCTCCTGCTTTATATGTGTATGATCTGGACTGTTTATTGGACTGTGCCTTACTTTTTCCTGAAAGTAAACACAACTCAGTGTATCTGTGTGTTGACTGTGTTTATTAACTACTCTCAATCGCTTTCATGTGCACACCCTTGCTACTCAAGGGTTGCTCTGTGAATTCCTTAACACCAATAATGCAAGTTCTTTCATTTTGATTTAGTCCCAAAGGTCTGAAGAGCCTTGGTAGTACAGTGGTTTAAAGCACCCTGTTATTAACACAGCTGCCTGCAATTACTGCAGGTTTGAATCTTACCAGGCTCAAGGTTGACTCAGCCTTCCATCCTTTCTAAGGTAGGTGAAATGAGGACCCAGTTTGTGGGGGCAATAAGCTGACTTTGTATAAATATACAAAAGTATGAAGGCTATTGCTTAACGCATTGTAAGCAGCCCTGAGTCTCCGGAGAAGGGCGGCATATAAATCAAATTTTTTAAAAAAAGGTGCTTTTTTCAAAAGGCAACTGGATCTTCAAGAAAAAACCAGTTGCATTTGGAAAAAGCATCTTTGGGACAACCATGACTTGCATGACTGAGAGTCTCCATAGACATTTTGATTTAGCTTATTGTATGAACTTGGCCATTGTGACCAGCATGCCTTCTGAACTCAGCCAATTCTAGATCAATCAATAAATCATGGTTGTAAAACAGTAGCTTTGTGGCTGTGGAAATCCATCAATTAAGGGATAGATTTAAATTGATGGTTCAATGTTGTGTGCAAGGAGGATTTTATTTTATGTTAACCATTTGTACAAGGGCCTTGACAAAATTCATAGGAAAACTCATTATCCAAGTCCAACTCCAAGTTGTGGGGGTTTTTTTTGTCCTGAGTCAACATGCATATTCTTCTCACTGTTAATGATTCAAATTCATATTAATTCTCCAGTTAGGGCCATGCTAGGGGAATCCCACTTAATTCTCCTATGCAACTTATGTTATTTCACTGTATTTTTTAAAAAAATATTTTTACCATATAATTCCTGTGCTATGAAGAGGAAAGCATAAATTCCAGATGCTGCTGGATTACAACTTTAATATACCTCAATCTTCACTTTAGTTCCTGGAATGGCTGGAATTGTAAGACAACATGTCCAGGGCCATTTTGAGGAGATTGGGTTAAACCACTGTAGGATGTAGAACTGATAAAAACATTTGCTTGAGGCTCATGGCCAGTGAATAGACAATATCAGGCTTGATGGATTGATGCTATAGTCGTGTAAGACCATTGGAAATTGTCTGGAGGTGAGGCAAGATTCCATAGAGGAATTTGTAGTTTAGACAACTATAGGTAAATTATAGTAAATTAACTGAAGGGAAATCAAGATAGTGATTTCAACAGAAGACAATACATGTACCACAAAGTTGAACTGTGGAGCCCTTGATGCTCTCTGAGCCTGGTTGTTAAATTGCAGATGTTTTATTACCCAACCAGGTAACGTCAATGCTACTGAGTGTGTGGTTTGTATACAATAGCTTGTCCTGCCAGTGTTGATGAGGGTGTGGTTTTCTCTTTACTTAGACTGTTGGGGAGGATGTTTACACATAATTCAAAAGAGACAATTAAAAAATTAAGAAGGAAGAATTACTATATCTGGCATGTTAGAAGGGGTTCGTTCTCTTGTGCTGTTATCACTAGGTGAATTGTAGCGTTGTTACTTATTCCTAAGGTACTTGGGTCAAAGCCCAAAGCCAAATTGAGAAGTCCCAAGGGCATTGTTAGCAACAAGTAAGGGAACAGAGGACCCATTGAATAAGCATGTGTGTGCTAGCCCACTATGGCTCCCCAAATAACATAAGTTGTAGGGCAAGAAACTGTGTGACTACAGCTTCCAAAATCTCTGTTGAAGATACCTTCCAGTGGTGGTACTGAGCCGGTTCTGTCCAGATCACGCAAACTGGTAGCGGTGACTGCGGGAGGCTCCGCCCACCCACCCGGATGTAATGCGCGACTACTGTGTATCTGCAGAAGGCCGTGCGCATGCACAGAGGTGGCACATGCGCTCACATTTGCGAACCGGTAGGGAAGGTAAGTGAATCCCACCTCTGGTACCTTCCCAAGCTGCTAGCTTCCAAGAACAATTTCCACTAATCTGTTGTTCTCCAGAAGAACTGGACTACAGCTCACACCATTCACAGCATCTCCATGCTGTCCAATGATGGGATATGTTCAACATATCTGAAGGGCACCAAGTTAAGGAATACTATAGCAGAACCATGCAGATTAATTAGAGGCCAGTGGTTGATTTGATATCTATTGCAATCCCCATGTGAACCTGGAGCTGGGAATCTGTCTTGCAGTGTGAGCATATATCAGAACATGAAATATTTAAAAGCTTAACTGCAGTCTCAAGACTATTTTATAAAAACACAAACTGCGGGATTAGTTGGTTTCTCTTACCCTTTTTTGCTTTTTTTATAAAGCTTTGTAATCTTCTCAGCTGGAAGGCCATATTTCTCAGAAATCTATATTTTAAAAAAGAAAAAGAAAAGGAGATAGATTTATTAAAAGCAAGCCTACTGCAGAATCACCGCTCTCAGTTAGATTTAGGCAATTCATGGCAGGCTACACAATGTCACTTCTTAGTACTGCAGAACCTGGAGATTGCCCTCCAGGTTCTCCAGAACACAGTGGGACTTACACACGGGAAATGGAGCACTTTTAGGTGTAGCTTCCTGCCGCTTTTAGTATTTTAATATTCATCTCTACTGATTTAAAACAGGCTTTTCCTCTAAAGAATGAATTAAGATCAACTGTCCAAGAACTGAGCCCCTAACATCAAAAGTGAATCTCCTTGCAAGAATTTTGCAGATTAGTGAAAGTGTCAGGGTTCTGACTGATGCCCTCGAAAGCAGGAGCCTCAAGCAAAGTCTAAGAAAAATCCAGTTAGGAGCCCCATGTTGGCATGGACCAAGTGAAGCCAGCTTTGACTTCACTCGGTTCGCACCTTGCCTCTGACCCCATTTCCCCCTCCCCACAAGGTGTGTCATCAGTCACATTCCCCAATGAAGCAATTTTGCGGGTCGTAGAAATCACTCCCTCCAGCCGTTGCATGTTTCTGTGGAGATGGCCTTAACTTTGGCCATCTGGGATATGTTTTGCTTTGACTGAGGTGCAAATTCCTCAATGCAGCTGTGAGGGTCCATTCCCCAACCCCCTGCCTATGGCAACTCGGGAGCAGGTCATGAAAGCTTCGTGAGTTGACAGAAAGCAATTTGGGAGTATACCATGATCTGATGCTGTGCCTAAATTTCCAATTGTTGAAGGTAACAAAGAGTATTCTAAGCAATGGCAATACGCTTTCCTTATCCAGTTGCAGCCAACCATGCTTTGGTTTCATGAAACCAGACAGATGGAAATATATGGCACAGCCTTAAAGAGTGCCCAGAAGCTTCACTTGATGGAAACTGGGGTGGAGGAAGCTGTTCCAGGCATAGCATTATGATCAGATTGCATTTACAATCCAAAAACATATATTTTGGTATAAATGCAAATAATTTTGGAATACAGCAAGCAAGATGGATCCTTTTCAGATGCTCTGGTTTTAGTTGAATCTGTAGCTGTGCAACTAGTGCCTAAATAAGCATACACAAGCCTAAAAAAGAATTCCTTGTCTGTGCCATCTGAAAATCTGGGAAGCTTAATTGGACACATTGACAGAAAGCCAAACTGAAAAGGGTTCTAAGCTACAGCATCTTATAAAGAAGACAATGAATCATCAGCCCTCATCCCCAAAAGAGAATCCAAATGAAGCATGAGATAACAGATCTTAGAACTTAGTTGATTCTAAGAAAATGTTAGCACCCAAAGCAGTGAGTTATAGCAGTTCTTCCAAGACATTTCAACTTATATGTGCAAAATGGAAACTTTGATCCCCATTTATGGCATTAACCAAGATTGAAAAGAAAGGTTCTTGTGAGAGATTTTTCTGACAGAAGAGAAACACAAACGATTCCAAAAAATAATGGAATTAATGGATGAGGCTCTGAAATACTACCCATTTATCTCAACTGTTCCCAAGACTCTCGGTAATAAAATATTTTTATTTAATGTATATAGCAAAACCACTGCTGCCTTAATACAATTTTTGCAACTCTGTATGTCCAAGCTAAGTTTTTCCTAGAGTTATTCCAACAGAAAATCTCCCAAGTAATGGCTGAACATTATTTCTCCTTCTGAGTTTCCTATATGTTCTCAGTACTACCAGAATAGTTGTTCCATCTTGATAATGCATAGGAGTTTTAATCTATCTATCTATGTTTATGGAGACTGGGAGCAGATACATTGCACCATGTTCTTCCCTTAAGAAATGTAGATCTCAGAATTGTTACTGCATTCTTAAAGGACACACTCCTCTGTCTTTCTAAATTTAACAAACTAACTTTTCAGGGACACGCTCAAATTGGGAAAACATGTCAAGAAAGGTTGGGGCGGGCAGGGGATACAAACTGTCCTTGGCAACCAGTTTTCACAACATATCAAAGCAAACACCTTTCCCCATTGCAGGCCAACATAATCAAATTGCAGACTGAAAACTAAAGGATTAAAGGATCACCTCATCTGCATTTCTGCACTGAGAAAGTAGCTCTGAGTTGGATCAGAATAGACTGGATAAAGGGAGCGGGACGTAATATTTAAGATACCTCTTTTTCCTTATTCTTTCTTGTGCCTCTTGAAAAACTTCCAGACAGCACTTCACAGCAACACTGCAGAAGGCTGCTGGAAAAAGGTAACAGGAAAGGATTTTATCAGTATTTCTCAACCCTAGAAACTGTAACGTGTGGACTTTTAATTTCCAGAATTCCCCAGCATGCTTGTTAAGAAATTTTGGGAATGGAAGACCACATCTATCAAAGTTGCTAAAACTGAGAAACACTGGATTAAACTGTTCTTTTCCTTTAGAATGGAACCTCTGATCCCCTATAAATAAAATTCTAAAATCCTAATGGCCAATTGTGATGAATTTCAATGTGTCTAAAACTCAATCTTGTTTTAATTATGATCATACATTTCCTCCTCAACACCATTTCTTTAGATAACTGAAATGGCTCTGAATTTCTGTAAAAGGAGTTAAAACACCTGGGGGGAGGCTCGAGAGTGATTGAAATGCAAGAAAAAAAATCTAATTGGGGAAAAAAAACAGGATGGATCCCCTTATTTAGTTATCTTCCTAGTGTGCATAATCAGGTCAAATGTTCCCAGCTCATTAGAGCAACTGATCACTATCCCTGCTTATCCATATTGATGATCCAGATACACTATAATGGAAATGATATGGTACAAATATAGTGCAAGTCATATGGTGACTTGTATCATGTGCACAAGGAAATTGTTGTAAATATGTACTTTTTAATTTAACGGGTAAAAGAAATTGAAGACGTACCGTTTTCTCAGTCAAGAGCTCACTGTATTTTTCTTGTTCAGAGCATAACAGAAAATTTCCCTTTGCTTATGGACAGCCTGGCAGACTTTATTGATTCCACAATTGGTGGTGAATGACTGTTCTTAATTGAGAATAATATTTATCTGGATAATGCCAATGAAAAAGAAAATATTGGCATGAAAACTAGTTATGCGAGGTCTTTCCCTGCACAATGGTTCTTTGCACTTAAAGCAGACTATGAAATCTTGTTTGTTCAGTTTGGCTTTCCAGCAATTTAAAACTGAATTATCTCTATAATCTCCGCTTTCTCACTCTCTTTTCTCTGTTTTTAATTTTATTGTGTGCGTATTTTTAAGTGTTTTAATTATGTCTTATTTTTTATTTATAATTCATCTTTGGGGTTTATTCTGAGCAAAAAGGCAACTTGGAAATTAATTAAGAGTTCACTTCACACCTTCCCTTATGACTCAGAGCCAAGCCAAGGGAAAATGGCAACAGAGAAAAGCAATGTTAAGGGACTTTGTCTTGCTCTCCATAAAGATAGAAACAGCAGTGCTGCCCCACAAGCAAAAGCAGGAAGAATTTTGTCATGAAAACAGGAGGTAAAGGTAAAGATAAAGGTTCCCCTCACAAATATGTGCTAGTTGTTCCTGACTAGGGGGCGGTGCTCATCTCCATTTCAAAGCCGAAGAGCCAGCACTGTCCGAAGACGTCTCCGTAGTCATGTGGGCCGGCATAACTAAACGCCAAAGGCGCACAGAACACAGATACCTTCCCACCAAAGGTGGCCCCTATTTTTCTACTTGCATTTTTTACGTGCTTTCCAACTGCTAGGTTGGCAGAAGCTGGGACAAGTAACGGGAGCTCACCCCATTACGCAGCACTAGGGATTCAAACTGCTGAACTGCCTACCTTTCGATCGACAAGCTCAGCGTCTTAGCCACTGAGCCACCACATCCCAAACAGGAGGTAGATAATCCCCCCCCCCAAAAAAAAATTCAGTTGGCACCGACAGCAAGCAGATTCAATAGTTGTTGCTTTGATCATTATGGATATGGTGGCAATTTATTGCAAGCCAGGGATCTGAATCACTGCTTTTAATCACTTATTAGTAATTCCTAGATGTCAATAATGACTGGTTAGACTCTTAATAACATCCCTGAGTTATCCAATTTCCAGAATTATTTTTCTGAACTATACAGTACTTAACAAATATTCTATTTAGTATGTAAAGCATGTATACATGCTTTATTCTGAGCATGTATATGTCCCAAATATGTCCCTTTATATAGTCTTCTTATACCTTACTATTAAAGAGGTCCCTCTGATTTTGCCTTGAAGGTTTTATAAAGAGAAGTGGGAGAGAGTAATTTAGATGGAAATCTATTTGCAATTTCCTGATAAAATTAAAGTTCTGTCCCTCCTAAACTGAACATTGTCTCTCATTCAATGGTGCATTACATTATTGTTCTTTTCAACTTATTAAAAAGTTTTATTCCCCAAAGTCTGAATGTTATGTTCAGTAATCCTATTCTTGCTTCTTCTGAGCTTTTGACAATACAATGGCTACCTGTGAAAGCTCCTGTTATAACAATTGGTTTGCAAGGGTGCCATATTATTTTCTTGTCTTTGGAAAAAGCAGAATGAGAAAATTTACTGCCCATTCTTCTGGTGTGCTATTGTAAAAGGAAGAAAAATGATGTGAATAATAAATCTAAGAAAATATTGTCAAGTATGGAAAGTTTGGGTGAGCTCACAGATCAAAATTTGAAAAATGGGAGAAATGTACAAGTTGTAAACAATAGAGCTTTTGCTTTACGATTATGGTGGGTTGTAGTCCTGGAAACGTAGCTAAGTTTAAAGTGCCAAGAACTTCCCAATTCAAGTGGGCATACATCTATGTATACGAGTATGCAATTTTACGAAAAAAACATTTTATATTGCCTTGTCAAAGTATAACATATATCTATGAAAGGTTTCCTTCCCTTATGGGAAGTGAAATATGAAGGACATCAAGATGGCACTGTTGCAAAGATTTGTAACATATTTGTAGCACGTTTGCATTGCAATGCGACATAAATTTCAATAGCGCACAGGTTAAAATATTTCTGCGTTCTAAACCCTACTCTTTCTGGCAAGCAAAGCAAGCCCATTTAGCAAGAAGCATCAATGGATGTGAGCCAGTTACTCGTTCCCACTGCCTTCCATGATGGGTTTTTTTAAAATACACCAGAAGGAACATAAAGTAATGTATAATAAATTATTTTTCATAAATACAATAAAATAATTTATAATACTTATTTAATTATTATTAAAACAAACATGTTCATTTAAAAACTGCAGGAAATAAATAAACTTGCCTGTAAAAAAGCAACCTAATAAATTGTACAAATAAATGTCATGCAAAACAGACAATATTTGAATCAGAGCAAGACGGTATTATTCTAGGCACAGAAGCCTTTTAGTTCCATAAATTTCCATCTTTTGTGCCTCTTGGGATTTAACACCCCAGAAAGACCTGGTGCATAATATAGAACAGGGGATTTTTCCAGATTTACTGTTTCTCCAGGAGAACTTTTGCCCAGGTTTGGTGGGTCCGCCAGTTGTGTGTCATCTTGGACCAGAAATGTCAAAGGCATTCATAGATGATACTTTTCTCATCTCTCAGACAAACTGTTGCAGTTTGAAAATGTCTCAGAACAAAATTGCTTACAGTAGAATGTACCTATTTTGGGAGAGCTTCACTGGTTTCCAGGCATAATTTATGGTGCTGGATTTTGCCTATAATTTTTTTTTTTTAGCATAGGCTCTTGCTACCCGGGATTGTCTTTTCTAGAAGAATCCAACACTCAACATAATTTGGCCAGGAAATTCTGTGGCTACCCATCCTAGAGAGATTTGGGGGGGAGGGGGGGAGGAAGGGAGGGGAGGATGGGAAGGCCATTCACATTGGAAGAGCTTTACTGTTGGGGGTTAAATAACATGTTGATTTTTATCCTTTAAGAAACCAGTTGGGGCTTTTGGTGAGTTTTAATGGAGCATAGCAGCATATTTTAAAATACCTTAATACTTAAAATTGATTTTACGGATGTTTTAAGCGACTGAGGTAAGCCATGCAAGAGTTGCCTGAGTAGGCAGTGTACAAATAATCAATCAGTCTGCTCTACAGACTTTCTCAGCAAAACAATTTCACATTTTTATCATCCCTTCTCATCTTATGCAGTCAAGAATCTATTTGTCACCATCCACCAACATTTTGGTTCAATCTTTTGATGTTTGGAGTCAATTTGCCCAAGATATGGAATGCAAGAAAGAGTTACGGAAAGTTTTTAAAAAGGAGGGGGCTGCCACAGGCTTAACTCACACAGACTTGGAAATCTTGGAAAGAAAAATAGAGATGAACAACAAAATAATTAGAAAACAAATTGCTTTTGAGACAATATTGAGATTAGAAACAATAAATATTAAAAGTTTCAGGTCCAACTTAAGGTATAAGAGATTTCTTCCTGTCAGTCCTGTCAGACTGATATTTTTAGGGATTAGGGGAGAATCTCTTATACTCTTTCCAGAGAATCCCTGTTATGGCTGATTTTTTTCAAGGTTCAGAGACAAAAATAAAGAAGTCACTCTAATCAAAAAGCACATGAACTACTTCAAGTTCCTCTTCAATCTGGAACACCTTCTTGGAAAGAGATATCAGTAGCCAAGGATAATTGCAATAAACAACTCTTTTCTACACATTCAATTTATGTATATGATAAATATTTTGCTCATTAATGTCATTTTTTTGTGGCATTTTGGTTGGTATTGAATAAATGTTCAGTTATTTTTAAGTTTGTATAGATATAAAGTTATTATTTCTTTTCCTGCAATTACCCCAGAAATCAAATCAATGTTTGTTGCTTTAATACAATAAGATGTGAGATGAGATGACAAATACTTACTGCATCCATAAGCCCTTTTACTGTGGGAGATTTTAACATCAAAGCATCAAACACTTCATCCGCTTCTTTCCTCACATACAGCAGAACTAAAAAATAAAGAACCAAACTTTGGAGAAGACGTTTAACAGTTCCACAAATGAATCATTTCCCTTGGAAGGCAATTTCTTTCTTTCCACCAACTGACAATTGAAAAAAGCCAGATACTTCTATTAAAAATAAAACTATCACAGAAAATAAGTATGTCATGGGGCAAGAGGCATATAAGCTGATTTGGAAAGGGTGTCCTTTTTTCCCTTCCAAGAAATTGTGTTATGAATAGCAGCATTTCTTAAAACTTTTAGAACTTCCAAATCAATTCAAGGTAGTTACATTGGAGTTCTCTATAGAATTGAGTTCTTGAAGTTCTCTGTAGAATCGGATGACTTGCCACCATTGAAATCAAATTTACCAATCAATAACTAAAAGTTCCATTAACTTGTAAAGCAAATACTCAAATCTGATAGAGTGAATTTTCTTTTTGTGATACAAGGACAATATAACTACAGGTAGTTTTCCCCTGACGACAGTTCATTTAGTGACTGTTTGACATTACAACAGCACTGAAAAAAGTGACATGACAGTTTTTCACACTTATAACCATTACAGCATCCCCACGGCCATGTGATCAAAATTCAGACACTTGGCAACTGATTCATTTATGATGGTTGTAGGGTCCTTGGTCACTTTTTGCAACTTTTGACAAGCAAAGTCAATGCCGAAGCCAGATTCATTTCACAACCATGTTACTAATTTAACAAGTGCAAATTCACCTAACAACTGTGGCAAGAAAGGTTGTAAAATGGTACAAAACTCACTTAAATGTCTTGCTTAATAACATAAATTTTGGGCCCACTTGTGGTTGTAAGTCGAGGACTACCTGTAGTGTTCTGATAAAACAAAATAGTTTTTTCATACATTGTCCAATAGTCCCTTCATCATTTCCAACGTGAGGTTTCAACAGTAACATCAGCAAGTACAGATGCTCAATTAAAGGTCCTCAGTTAAAGTCTACTCATTCAGCAATCATTCAGTTACGATAATGCAGAATGAAGGGCATTTACCACAGTCCCTGTACTTGCAACCATCACAGCATTCCTACTGTCACATGATTGTGATTCAGGCGCTTGGCAATTGGTTTGCAATTGTGAAGTTGCAGTGTCCTGTGGTCACGTGATTGCCATTTGTGACCCTTATTGCTTGCTTCCAATAAGCAAAGACACTGGGGAAGCCAGCAGGAACTTGCAAATGGTGATCACATGATCCAGGGATGCTGAGATCATGTAGGATTAGTTTAACAATGGCAATTGGGACTGCTGTCATAAATCAGCATAGTCATGTGATGTTGCATTCTACGGTACAACCACATTGTTTATTAATGGAGTTCACAGTCCCAATTGCCATCAGTAAGTGAGGGCTACATGTAATTTACTTACAACATGCCTTTATGTGTTTTTGTGATATACCCTGGTTTTGAGGTTGGCTATTTCTCAACTATGTCCCAAACTCTAACCAAACTTCCAAAAGCCGCCAAATGTATTGGGCTATCATTTGCATCTTCTTGGGAACTGCTATTCACTACATCTTGGAGGCATCCAGTTGGGAAAGTGCTGTGAATTTTATGTAGTTTATCATCATTTGCTGCAAGGAATATCAAAGAAAGACAAATATAAGACTAAGAACAAATACCTTTTTTTGTTCCTTCTTCTTTTATTTGTTTCAATGGTGGTGGAACGAAGTCCTCTTCAACTGTGCGGAATATCCGTTTAGCTAGAATACTGCCACTGAGTAGAAAAACAAAAAGAAACAGATTTGTAAATTAATCAAGATACAATAATTGTAGGACAAGGAATGGCAGAGCCTGGGGGCAGGGTCAAAAGCGGAATCAGCCTAGAATCTTTGTATAGTTACCAACAGACTATAGTCCAAAGTCCCTTAAACTCTTATCTAGCATCAAATTAGTGCTTTTAGTTTAGTAGATGGGCAAATAAGTATGAGCAATAAATCAGTTTAATTGGAACTTCACATGTGATCCTGGTCTTTTGCACCTGACAATAAGCCTCCTCCTTGTTCAGATAACAACTGCTGATTAAGATTAACTAAAGATGAGATATCCATCCAATGGAGTCTCCACAAAGCATACTTTTTTAAAATAAAGAAATCAGCCCCTTTACACTAACTGAATCTGATGTAACTTTATTGATGGGATTTAAATCCTTCTTGCTGTAGAACGTATATTGATAGTTATCAAGGCAAAAGCTGCAGTAAGTACTATGGATCTGTTCACTATGCTGCCATTTTAATTCTCATTATTCCTTGAGAAAAGTCATCAGGCAATATTTGCTCTCTGTTTAAAACATTCAAAAGGTAGCATTAATTCTGACATATATCGTTTGGCTTTCCTCTCCAAATTCCAGCTAATTATTTCCATCAAACGTCATGTTATAATTTCATCCAGACCATATTAAAACGCAGTAAACATTAATCAATTAATAGTTTACAGGAAGAAAAAAAAAACCAAGATCAGCCTGTACAGTGAAATGATGAAATCATAATTTTTAAGAAAATGGTAGCATTTTTGATAGGCCTGTTCTAAGAACAAGGTACTGTTAATTCCACAGGCATAATACCGATGTGTTATCTGAACTAACAGCTTGAGAAGTTACGTAAGATACTAGGCACAAAAAAAGTTAAGACTATAAACTAGTTTTGTGCTTATGTATATTACTAAAACTGGAACTCTGAGGAACTAAGCTTCCATTTATTTATTTATTTGATATAATTTAGAGGCTTTCTGATTTCAAATTTCTCTGAACAGCTTATGCTTCAAAAGCAAGAAACACTAAAAACTCAAAAGCAGATAATAGATATCAAGGAAAAAAAATATACGTAACAATAAAGAATGACCAACAGCAGGGTTGTCAAATTCACATCGTCACGGCGGTGTCACGTGACATATCGGGACTTTCCCTCCCTTCGCTAAACTGGGTGGGGTATGGCCAGCATGTGACGCATCTGGCCCGTGGGCTGGGAGTTTGATAGCTCTGACCTACAGGACTCAGCAAGCCTTCACTGCCCCAAGACCTGGGACAACACCCAGGTTGTCAAAGACTTCCAGTTTATCATTAGGGTAGGAACCATATGGATTTCTAGAGGGGATCCTGTTCCAGAGAGCAGGCTCTGTGACGGAGGAGCTATATCTCCTAAGTCCTAGCAGATCACATTGTTTAATTGTGGGGATCTGTTTCAGTGTTATTCATAGATATGAAGCAGTTTCTACTCTAAAGGTCAACAAGGCAGGCATGCAGATCACAGGAAGGTAAGCGGAGCTAAGAGGAAATTCCAACAGTCACTGAGCTCCAGATGATTTACCAATGATTATTTTCACAAAATATTTCAAAATTGGCAAGCTGAACTGCATTTTCTTAATGTGCATTATTCAAGTTGTTAAAAAAAATTGTTAAGTCTTCTATAATCCAGAATTTGCTTTGCCTTGCTTCAATGTCCTGGCGTGGACATCTTTTAAAGCATACCTAGCCAAAATTATATCTTGGAAGGTGTAGATTATGATACTAAATATCAGATCATTTCTATCAGAAGCAATAAAAATTGCAACAACAAAAGAAACAGCACTGTTGGGGGAAAAATAAAGTGCTTTGATTTACACTAGAATGTTCACATTTATATTTATATTTTGTATAAGGGGGTTGGATTCTTAGTTACAAAATGTATAGTAAAGCTCTTACCCTTCTCGTTCATCATCGTTGTTATAATAAACCTGCAAAAAGGAACAACAAACAGATCTATAGTTATGGTGTTTCCAGGAAATCAAGGAAGAAGCCAAGCCATGAATTTGCTCTTTTTCACATAAATCAGTTGCTCATTTTGTTCAGTTTTGGCATGCCCTGTTCGTTTTTAGAGGACTTGTGAGAAAAAAGTCTCTGACAGGTCACGTCTGTTCATTCTTTAGAATTCTTCCATTCTTTGTTGTTGTTTGAATTAAACAAAGTCAGGTAAACACAGTTGGTTTGTCTGCCAAAGGTTTAAACTGCTGTGAAAAAAAATGGATAGGATGAAATTCTTCTCTTTCTCTCTGTATTTCCTTCCATCCTGGAAGAGTCAACACCCTTTAACTCTGTGGAGAAGATGTGGCTGTGCTTTAATGTGAAAAAATGGCTTAAAAAGAATACTTTCCAGCCATATTTGACTTGATGCTAGGGATCAATTTTGACATTTTATATGAGGAGGAAGACACAGCTTTTTCTGGGACAGGGGCAGTAGTGGGACTGCCGTCGGTACTGAAGTGGATGTCTTCAGTAGCGGCGGCTGTGGGAGGCTCCACCCACCGACTCCGCCCACCCATCCGGACGTCTCTGTGCGTGCACAGAAGCTTATGTGTATGCACAGAAGTGTCGCACGTGAGCATGCCCATGAGCGAACCGGTAGTGACCAAAATTGAAACCCACTACTGGACAGGGATCACATTTGGCCTTGGAGAACCTGAAGAACAAAGGATGCACTAAAATTTGCAATTTCTGCTAATTCTGTTCAAAAGAGTTTGCAACAGTCTCCCCTTGAATTTCTTTATAAAAAGAGAGTCATGATCAAAGGAACCTTAAAATCTCAGCTTTCCTTCTTCAATCTTGGAAAATACTTTTTAGCTGACAGTAACGCTGTTAATACCTATTAAATAGTAGTAGATTAACCTTTGGCAACCAGATGAAATAATGACATGAATGAGCCTTTGCAGATTCAAGATTGCCACCACCATTCCCTAGTATGCTCTACTGGCTTAGTTGGTCAAATAATCTGATCTGGAAGAAGACAGCTTCAACTTTATGTCAGTGAACTCCCAAAAGTTATTTACAAAGAATGGATCATGCTCATTTATTTCTGGGAAATAGAGGATGGACCAAACCATTGAGAGGCAGGATAGACCTTCACATTACCTGATTTCTTACCTGCCCAGCTCTTTGGAGATTGCCAAAATGAACATCTGGTATGAAAAGAACAGGCTGGGAATCCAGGTCAACCATAGTTTTAAAATAGGTGATGTCACTCTTCTTTTGGAGAGGCACAGGAGTCAACTTCCCTTCTGCTGTTCAGGGAAAATGGAAAAGAAGGTTACTGACTGGGAAACATTATTAGCACCAGACTGAGCATTGTACAGACCAAGAGAAAAAGCTTGCATCCTCACCGTTAGGGCAAGTTGCCTGAGAAACTTGGCCTTTCGATTTCTTTCTGTTTTGCTTTCTTTCTTCATCCCGGATTTTCCTTTCGGCTCCCTGTGACAAGAAGCACAGACTTTAAAGTAAGTGCCTGTTCTGTAGAGGAGGCATTTGTACCCAGGAATGGGCTTAGTCTTACTAGTTGTGATAATTTTGGGGTTTGAACATTGTTCTGATTACCAATTTATTATGGCATTCCTGGTTTTCTTGGTGTTCCGAGCAGTGGTGGGTTTCAAACTTTTTTACTATGGGTTCTGTGGGTGTGGCTTGGTTTGGTGTGGCATGGCTTGGTGGGCGTGGCATGGCTTGGTGGGCCATTCCCTCCCCACTCCAGGGGAAGGTTAGTGCAAAATCCCCATTTCCTCCTGATCAGCTGGGACTCGGGAGGCAGAGAATAGATAGGGGTGGGGCTAGTCAGAGGCGGTATTTACCAGTCTCCGAACTACTCAAAATTTCTGCTACTGGTTCTCCAGAACTGGTCAGAACCTACTGAAACCCACCTCTGGTTCCGAGGTGTCCACAGAATATGGTTAAAAAAAATTCAACATGATAGCAAAGCTCCGCCCATACTCTATGCATGTTATACATGCAAAGCACATAAACAATAGCCAAAGCTTCCATTATGCTCTCATGGCCATCATGTTGACTTTTTAGCCACACCCTCGAGCACTCCTGTTTGTGATATAAGAGAATATTTATAGCTCAGGGTTGAAATGAGGGGTCCTTGGTGCTCTTGGCGCTTGGCTGCTTTCTTGCAGACGTTATATTATCCAAACTAGGTAAGATCATCAGCACTGTTTGTGTTGATATGGTGTACTGCCCAGGGTCCTTTGGGATTGGAGAAGGTTATAAATACTGTAAAACAAACAAGTAGCCAAATAGAATTAAGAAATATTGAAATGAGGCTATATATGTTACAGCCACATTGTAGGAATTTTTGAGGCACTGGTTTGTTCAGATTATTTTATTTGTACTTTGACTGAGATATGTGGAAAGCAACATAGTGCTTAAGAAGTTGCATGAAAATGGTGGCATCCATTTCCAAGCCCATTATCAACTTTGGAAGCTTAGTAGATAATATCAGGCCAATCACTATTACTCACCCCTACCTACCCAAGGATGGTTATTGAGGGAGGCAGTGCTTTAACTTTTTACTTCTAAATAACAACATTAATAAGAATCCTTAACAATAAATACTAATTTGAGATGCAAACGAAAAGACAGAGATGTTCTCGGTAAAAAGCAAAAAATCCATCTTGATTAATCATACCAAGGTCTCCCTAATCTAATGTTGGATACTCTAACTGACTCTGGGCAGTTCACAAATAATAAATAAAACCAATTATCATGAGACAACATGAGAGGATGTAAATTTGCAGAGACTCCATTCTTACCACGATGTTACACAGCATTTACTGTCCTTGGAGATTTGGCATCCAGTCCTTAATTCCAACACACATACATACACAGATACACAGACACACCAGTGGTGGGTTGCCCCCGATTCACACCGGTTCTATAGAACCAGTAGTAAAATCGGCGGGAGGCTCCGCCTACCGATCCCAACATCATCAGAATGCTTCTGCGCATGTGCAGAGCGCGTGCATGCATCCCCGTTGCAAACCAGTGGTAAAGGTAAGTAGAACCCACCCCTGAGACACACCCATACTGGTCCCACTTTTGATTGCAGAGGCAGAAGACTAATTAATACCAGTTAGAATGAACAAAGCCATAGTACCGAATCTGTAAGCAACTGTAGTCACGTTTGCAAGCAGACATTTAAAAGATACAGATGTGCTCTGTGGGATTTCAAAATCTAGCTCTGTTGACATAGTTGGCTTCAAAGCAAATTGGAATCACTGCTCTACAATATTAAATATACTATATTAAGGAAATTACCACTGTGCACATATTAGAAAGCAGAGTACCTCTGTGGAAGCTTCTAAATTATAGCATAGTGTAACATGTTTGGTATCTTTGATATCTCAAAATCCCCACTTGAAAAAAAAATAATCCTATGGGGCCAGATGCAGACATTCCTAGAGGGAGGGGGCAGGTGAGAAAAAAAACAGAAGGAGCAAATATAGCTTATAGGAAAGCTTCTTGTTGTGGGTCAGTACAGTGCTTTTGACTTGTAATTTGATCTGGCCTTAATTGTATTCTTTTACTTTTCCATCTTGTATGCCTGTTTTGGTCTAGGAAGGTGGCCTCATCTGGGATCTGAAGACGAAGCGGTCAAACTTGGTTATATTCAGAGGTGGGTTTCAGCAGGTTCTGACCAATTCTGGAGAACCGGTAGTGGAAATTTTGAGTAGTTCAGAGAACTAGTAGTAAAAATTCTGACTGGCCCACCCCCATCTATTCTCTGCCTCACAAGTCCTAGTTGATTGGGAGGAAATGGGGATTTTGCAGTAACCTTCCCCTGGATTGGGGAGGGAATGGAGATTTTACAGTATCCTTCCCCTGCCACGCCCACCAAGCCACGCCCACCAAGCCATGGCCCACCAAGCCACACTCACAGAACTGGTAGTAAAAAAATTTGAAACCCACCACTGGTTATATTGGCATAAGAGCCATTCCCTGGAAAGTCTAAGGCTGCAACCTGGACTGAAAATCCAGCACAACCACCACCAATAATAATTCTAAAAGAAGCAATGGCAAACTGTTTCAGTACGGTCACCTAGAAGTTGAACTGGGCCCAAAGGAGCTCTACCTTTCCTTTAAAAAACTGCCATTCTGGAATTATTTTTCAAATATGACAAGCCGATAAAAAATTACATTTGATAAATAAACCAAATTACAAAATAAATGATATATAGTAGTGTACTCATTCCTTAGGTCAAACTACAACCACTTTTGAGTTGTGATGAAACTGAGCAGCCTATAAATCAAATAATAAATGAACAGTCAGTATAATCCAGTAGTACTTCATTCCTAATATCGGACTTGCTCATTGTATTGGATTACAACTTCTCCAACCATATTGATTAATGTTTGTGGCTATTATATCTTATGTGTTTGGAAAGGTCAGATTGTGAATGGATGCCATAAGCCATGATGCCAGAATTCCCCAGCCTTCTGGGAGTTGAAGTCCACAAGTCTTAAAGTCGCCAAGTTTGGAGATCCCTGCTTTAGGGCAACTATAATAACCAAAGAGTGCCTGTTTGATGTTCTGGTTAAGGTACCAGGTTAGAAACCAGGAAACTGTGAGTCCAAAAGTTGTTTTAGGAACAAAACTAGCTGGCTGACCTTGGTCTATGACCTGAAGCCCCCTCCCCAAATAAAATTATTTTAAGAAATATGCTTAAAATGATCTCTTTTAACTCAAAGGAATTCTAGCTTGCGTTCTCTGATTCAGAAAATAAAATGGGTAACATTTAGTAGGTTTCATAATTAAGATCAACAATTGAAATATCTTCTCAACGGAGTACTTTACTCCTTTGAGAGTAAACAACTGAGAAGGAAGCTATAACGAGCAAAGTTAAAATTGTGTCTGTCTGTCTGTCTGTCTCTCTCTCAGAGGTTTCTTCACAGGCATGAAAGTAAGCACAGGGCATATGGCTCTTGGGTTTCAGCACTGCCTCAACTTCCTCACTGCTGTCGTAAAAAACATACTTGGGAGGTCACCCAAAGGCAAAGCAGGGTCAGCCATTTATCCGTTGCTAACACGGTGGAGTTAAACAACCCTTTTGTTCATCACCACAAGCAGTAATAATACTGAAAATCTTAGATGCTCTTCATTCTATCATGCTGGTCTCACTGCTTGAGACCAGAATCTCTATTAAATGGCTATAGGATTCTAGCTTGCATCCCACTGCCTTGCACTTAGCTGTGCTATTTAACTTGGTGCCAAGCTGGTGAATTAACAAGCTACCTTCCCCATAGCATTTTATTCTCCCTTAGCATGAGATGGGGAAGGGGGGATTTATAAACCAATGGGAAGCCATGGGAAGGCTTTAGAAATTTATGATGCCAAGGCAGGGGGTTGGCAGGGCAATTCTACATAGCACCGTGCGGTGTTTGAAATGGCTAAACTTTTAATGTTAATATTTCACAAGCTTGGTTAGTCATCTGAACATTTTCTTAAATCATTCCAGACCCTAGCATGGTAATATTGAACATATTTTTTTGCAAATATATATGCACACATACTGTTCACAGTAGGGCATATTTGCCTTCCTTCTTTGCTTTCTTTTTAATGCATAGAAGTGGGATATACATTAAGTGTGCTAAAATCAAATTTATCTGGAAGGGGGCTGACATAAGGGCATCATATATCCTATTTTAAAGAGAACTCCTCTGTTCCAAGGGCTAACCACCTCAAAGCTAAGATGAAGAACCTCGCTGTTGCGATCTTGTGAGATCCGGCCATGGTGTGAATGGGTTTTAATGTTTTAATTTTTAAATGTTTTTATAATGGTTTGGTTTTTTTAAAAAATGCATTGTAAGCCACCCTGAGTCTCTGGAGAAAGGCGGCATATAAATTGAATAAATAAATAAATAAATAAGAAATAAGAAATAAGGTGAAGTGCTTGGAGGTTCTCCTTCCAGAGATAGCAACTGGACCATAGACTGTAGATCCTGTGGCATAAGTCTTTCCTACTGTGGTAAAATGCCTAATCTAATGTTTTAGGATCACCATTTCTGGAATTTTCAGTAGCATGATCAACAGCTGTGGTAAGTACTATAAAAGTTGAAATTTGGTAAACAAAAACATGGATAGATACAAATATTTTAGTAGAGATAGATGATGGATGGATGGATGGATGGATGGATGGATAGATGGATGGATAAATAGAGATACAGACTGACTGACTGACTGATAAACTGACTGACTGATGGTGCTTGTGTGTATGCATTTGTTGATATATGTATATATGGATGAATAAGGTAATATCTTATTCGAGATGGATAAGTAATATCTTATCAGAGTCTAAGTCAAATGTTAACTTTGAAAAGTTTTTACTGCAGAGGCCAGATGGACATGTTCTATCACCCTGATGTCAGCAAGACTATTTTTGATTTCTATAGTTTAATTTCTCAAGTCTTTCTGGGAT